AACAAAAAAGTTGAAAATTGACCAAACACAAATTTTCTTCCGGTTCGGACAGGAAGTACCGGAAACACACGAAAACAACTTCGAAACAAAGAGAATGTCATGATCTAATACTCCTGTAAATTTCACATCTTTACCTCAAACCGTTTTCGAGAAAAATTCCGGACAAAAGTCCATTTAAAAATTGGAAATTCGGCCGTTACTTCGGACCGGAAGTGAATTTTTCAAAAAACGGAATTTTATATAAACTTCATATATCAGCCTACTATCATGTGAAAAATTGTGAAAATCTATCCAACCATCTCTGAGTAATCGCGCTCACAAAATTTGGGAGGAATAATAATAATAATAATAATAATAATAATAAAAAGAAACAATACAATCACTATAAGTCTTCCGTTGTGAACGGAAGACTTAAAAAGAAACAATACAAACACTATAAGTCTTCCGTTGTGAACGGAAGACTTAATAAAAAGAAACAATACAATCACTATAAGTCTTCCGTTGTGAACGGAAGACTTAAAAAGAAACAATACAATCACTATAAGTCTTCCGTTGTGAACGGAAGACTTAATAATAATAAAAAGAAACAATACAATCACTATAAGTCTTCCGTTGTGAACGGAAGACTTAAAAAGAAACAATACAATCACTATAAGTCTTCCGTTGTGAACGGAAGACTTAATAAAAAGAAACAATACAATCACTATAAGTCTTCCGTTGTGAACGGAAGACTTAACAATACAATCACTATAAGTCTTCCGTTGTGAACGGAAGACTTAATAAGAAACAGTAGAATCACTATAAGGTCTTCCGTGAAAACGGAAGACCTTAATAATAAGAAACAGTAGAATCACTATAAGGTCTTCCGTGAAAACGGAAGACCTTAATAATAATAATAAGAAACAGTAGAATCACTATAAGGTCTTCCGTGAAAACGGAAGACCTAAATAATTTTATAACTGCCCTTCCTGTTAATTATCACAATATTGATATATTTTGGTTGAGGTCATGACCCTCCTCTTTAAGTTTGTCAGTCTTTTCTTTCATACTTTCATACGAGGGGTATTTGAAAAGTGCTGAGAACTGTTTGATAAAATTTTAACCGTTGAGCGGAAGCTAATATACGTTCTATTTCCATTAGTGAACTCTTCAAAATTAGAGGCGCGTTTGGTCGTCTGATAGGGACAGCATAGCGTTGCGGATAATACAAAACATGCCAATCTCAATCCAATTTTTAATGTTAAGTGTATTTGTCATTCCAATTAAAGAATAGAAGAACCAAAAGACATATGTAAGAGAGCGAGAACCCTAAATTTATCATCCATTAATAAAAAATACGACATTTCCGAGGCATGTGTATTGTATTTAAATGTACCATACGATAAATAGATACATACGATCAACAATAGATATAAATTGATATCGTTGTCATTCCTACTCTTGATGTATATAAAGTCCACAACAATAAAATATTTCATTTGCATTTTCTTAGGATTTGTTCATCGATATTCACCATATTGTTTACATGTTTACGTTACGTTTGTCCCTGAAATCCCGCGAGATTTGTACATTTTCCGACTTTTTCACAAAAGAGCGCACTAAGAAGTATAACTCTTCCACGTAAGATCCGGAAATTTTGCACTTATTTTGACATCACTTTCTTATTTTTATGACGTAATAATTCCAAAAATGACGTCAGAGTTCCGAGTGTTTAGTCAGAGACCTTATACGTCTCTGGTTTAGTATACTGAAATGTCGAAAGAGGGCTGTCAAAGGCTTGTTTGAAAGATTTTTGAAAGATAATTTGCAAGGAGGTAGAGTAAGACTGTAAGAATGGTGCTGTAAATCAGCAATTCCATCTTTTATAGTTGGTTTATAAGCACGGTTTATGACCGGTTACGTTATAATAGACATTCGTAAAATATGTTTCTTTACATGATATAATTGGACTTTTATTCTATTACACAGCCTTCAACTGTACTTTAAAAAAATACATTCTGTATAAAGTGTAACATTGCAGTTTTCACAAATGTATCTCGAGTAAGAGGACGCTTATCTTATGAATAAAACTTACAAAGGTCTTCCTTCTGACTTGTTTCTGTGCGTATTTTTTCATGTTATTTCAACTTCGGCGATCCAAAACTCATTATTCCTTTTGTCTTTGACTCAAAAAAATTAAATCTGTGTTTCATTGCCATGTACAATCTTATTTATTCTCCCTGGGTTAAAATTTGCGAACGTATCGAGTTACGGTGGGGTTATAACTATATGGACACCATCTTGATTTTTATGAGAAAATATGGGACACCCCTCGCTAGACCTCTCCCGAGCTTTAATCGTTCCCGCAAACACGAATTAATGCTAGCAATATCTGCAACACCGTCCACCATTTTCCTGTAATTGTCAACTTTATCATTTTCTCACAGAAATGCCTTTTTACCCCATATTTAGCGCAAGATTCGATAAAAAACATGCTATGTTTGACACACTCTTAAACCACCTCAGAACTATACGAGATCCTGAATATAACCCCATATGATAAACTGTAGTCTAATGAACATTTACGTTGGCTTTAAATTTACTTTGGTCATTTTTATGGTCAGTATGCAAAACATATGGAATTCTGGCGTCATTTTCAGAGTTATTACGCAATAAAAATGACAAAGTGACGTGACAATATGTGTATATTTTTTCTGAGCTTTTCAATGATATCAAACTCATTAGCTACCGTTAAACGGTTAATATTTTATCAAACAGTTCTCAGAACTTTTCAAATGCCCATCATATGTTGTTGTGTATGGTTAACTAAACTGATATGGTCGGCAAAGTCGATGTCTTTCATTGCAGTAGTAAATCTCCAGTGTATTCCTTGTTTTTCCTGTCACCTTCCTCAATAACCAGTCAATACCCAGTAAGAAGATGAATAGTGAAAAGAAGCATCCCTGACGTACACCTGTTGTTACCAGAAACCAGTCTGAAGTTGATCTCTCTGAAATCATACATTGTAGTCAACTAGTCATAATATTGGCACTCTGCTGATTTGACACAACGGCGAGGTCATAAAAATATCCGTTTATTAGGTCCACTTGGCGAAAGAAAGACTCGATATCGGTTTGCAGTGCAGATTTTAAACAGGAAACGTAATACATCTTGAAAGATAAGAACTATGAAAATCTGTTCATTGTTAGGCTTGGAAATGAACCTCTTTCAGAAAATTTAACCTTGTCAATCATCAGCAAACGTAGATCAAATGTAGTATCCGAAGCATCAACCCTGATATGCATCTCCAGGTCTACCATCTATGCAAGTTTGGCGGTTTTACAATTCATGTTAAATTCAGGATATAATTGTCCAGTTCATGCAGCATACGAAGCACAGTATCTACCATAAGTGATGTAATCCATGTAGGGTTAATCATTCTTAGATATATTCCATTGGAAAATGGCCAGCTCTAACAGCTTTAACTTGGTCGTTCATTTTATTCATAAAGGTGGGTCGATTGCAATTTCTAAAACATACTTACTTGTGTGCATTCACCATTAATGTAAGCTTGATTTACACAGGAATTATAGCTTTTTGGGAATAAAACTGTTAAAAGATTTTACATATGTACCATGATCATTCATCTAAATGAAGCTGACTTCTAACATCGGAACCATATAGCCTAGCGGGGGTGAAAATAAAAATTCCAAAACCTTCTTCCACTACTACAGGACACTGCCAATCATACTGAAAAAAAAGATAAATTGTCTAATGCGTAAAATGTAAGAGAAGTTTGAGGAAGAAGATAGTGTAACAGACGGACGCAGAGACTATGATAAAAACAGTATATCCGAACTTTCTTTAGAAAGTACGCGTATCACCCCCAAAAAGTTGACAATTATTGTTAGGTCATATTTGTTCGCTTTACTCGATCAATACAGAGGAGGGCTTGTGGGGGAGGTGACTGATCGACAGGGGATTCTTACTCCTTTTAGGCACCTGATCCCACCTCTGGTTTTCCAGGGGTCCTGCTCACGATTCGTATTCTTTACTGGATTTAAGAGACTGGTCACTGTTCGTTATTTATTACATTAGACATAGCTTTACATTGGTAAAGTCAGAGGATTACAGCAGGAATCAGAAGCTTCACTGTTCGTTATTTATTACATTAGACATAGCTTTACATAGGTAGAGTCAGAGGATTACAGCATGAATCGGAAGCTTCACTGTTCGTTATTTATTACATTAGACATAGCTTTACATTGGTAAAGTCAGAGGATTACAGCATGAATCGGAAGCTTCACTGTTCGTTATTTATTACATTAGACATAGCTTTACATAGGTAAAGTCAGAGGATTACAGCAGGAATCGGAAGCTTCACTGTTCGTTATTTTTTACATTAGACATAGCTTTACATAGGTAAAGTCAGAGGATTACAGCAGGAATCGGAAGCTTCACTGTTCGTTATTTATTACATTAGACATAGCTTTACATAGGTAAAGTCAGAGGATTACAACAGGAATCGGAAGCTTCACTGTTTGTTATTTATTACATTAGACATAGCTTTACATAGGTAAAGTCAGAGGATTACAGCAGGAATCGGAAGCTTACGAATTTCAACCGGAGTACCAGAATACCTCTATCCCAATAATAGTTTGATTTTTTAATGTCTATGAACAGGATGAAGTCGTGAAGACATCTTTATCCAAAGTACACATCAAAACATTTTTCTAACAGTCTTCAACATTATCGTGACAAAGAGTTGTTTTTACTGTGAGGATTGTCTTTTTTCATTTAAATCTATAGTATATAATTTAAAAAAAAAACAACATTGTCAGAACTTTGCACGGAATATGATATATCATGTTTTTAAGGTGTCGAGCAATTGATTCCATTCAAAGCATTGACGCTTAATAAACCGGAGCGCAGATTATCGCTTCGTATAGGAAAAGAAACCCTGAGCGCGAGTGATAGTGAAGACAGTTAATACAAGGAAGGGGAGAAACGCCAACAATAGGACGTTTTACCCGATGAAATCCCCAAATCTATGGAAGGAATTCATCTTTTAACATGTGGTCAGTTTTTAATTTCAATGGGGAGGAATTACAACCGATAACAACTCCCTTTTAAATTACCTCTCTCTCGAAAATTGTGTATTTACACATACTTACTGGAGGTACGCTAATTTCACTGGAGGATTCATTTAATAAGAATTCAAGATGTGTTGATCAAGAGAGTGCGTTAAAATGAGCAAATATCGTCGCCAGTGAGAAACACAATGGGACCAATCAGCAATTATACATTTTGGATTTACATAGCTATTTAAACTCTATAATGATCAATGATATTGGGAAAAATATTTGCATACATATAAAAGTAGGAACTCCCTTTAGAAGTATATATGAGAAAATCCAAAGGAGTGCTGATGTTGTGTGTATAATTGTAAATTTTAATGTCCATGTGTAACCTAAACGTCTTCTTGTTTTTTGCGTGTGCTTGTGTCTTGTGTAGCCCAGTATCTATGTCAAATGTAACCAAACCACTTAAGATTTCATTCCTGGCCTCTCGTACGTTCTATGGTGAACTTTTATATGGGGGAGCCTTTTATCGTGCCATTGATGATATCAACAAGGATGACAGTCTTTTACCCGGCTATGTTTTGGAGCCGATATTTGCCGACACTCATTCGGATATTCTACAGACAGTGGGGTACATGACAGAACATAAGATAAATGGTACCCTTGGTTTCATTGGTCCGGAGGGTGCCTGTGGAATCGCGGCCACCAATGCCGCATCCTGGAACATGCCCATGGTGGTGTATGTAAGTATACCTATCTAATTCCGGCATTGAGATTTAAGAGATATATTATCCTTTTTTCAAATTATCATGTTGGTGCTCCTTTTAGTTATTCCAGCCATTTACACTATTTCAAGTCTATCATAAGATTCGCATCTTTGTATTTCCCATGTTGTACAGTCCTGCAGGACATGTTTATCCTTATTGTTTACCTAGTAGATACAAATTCAAACAATTTTGGATAGCGAAGATTCAGTGGTATCTCAGGTATTCGTTAAACAGATGGAGATAAGTGCATGAAAAAGTACATCTGTACTTTTTTATACCGTGTATTTTTCTTCTTTGTCATTTGCAAATAAATAACACAACTTCTAAACAATTTCCTGTTTCCTCCACAATTACAACCACAATCATATTACACAAGGAAGAAACTGGCAGACCATGCATCGCACCATAGCACTTATTTATTCTGAGAATGAAATCAATTTACATAGATATTATTGGCATGAACTTTTCTTTCTGGAGGTGGGGACGGGGTTCTAGCTAGCATACAAATATTGCAACGTTTTTTTTTCGATTACAATTCAAATATTTTACCTACACTTCATTATCTAGCTATTCTTTTTTTCTCGGTTTGTTGTCAATCTTATCATCAGATGACATAATTCTGATGACATATATCCACCTGTAAGCATTCAAGAACATTTCTAATCATACCTGTTATAAGAGAAACATAATAAGCGGATGAAGTATATTCAGATAAAACTAGCGGTTGAAAAGTTCGAATCCTGTCAATTAAGGCTTTGGTCGATGCCTTTTTTTTCACTGTATAGCCATGGCACAATCATGTAAACTGTTCAAAGATAATTTTTTAAAGAATATTTTAAAATATTTCAATTCTATTCATTTCTGAGTAGAAATATCTCTCTTAATTTTGATTTGAAGAAAAACTATCAATAACAAGAATTTCAAAGTATAAATACTTAGGGTTACTGAAATGTCAAGTACTTATGTGGATGTTTGGTAATTTGACAGAGTTTTATTATGTACTGGAAATCTTATATTTTTTAAGACAACGGTTGATAAATACTCGAAGGAATTTTACTCAAGTGAAAAAAAAACCAAGTTACGTATCGTTTTTCGACATGGGGCAGATGACCAGTTATTTAAATAAGTAAATCGATAGTTAACAATCCCTTCTCCTGTTTACTCGCTTTAACTTCAGGCCGGGAAGTGTCAATAACAGTAATTCCACTTATCTGTGAATGTTTACAATGTTTATACACTATCTGAATCAGAACTATAACCATTAGAATCATATAAACGAACTAGGGCTGAGAATCTAGCACTATATGAAACGGTCATTTACCCCCCCCCCCCCCCCCTTATCCACTACCAAATAAATCATTTGAGTCTTCTCTGTTTATAAACTAATGGGGCAGAAATTAACTTGAATACGCTGACCGCTCAGTAATTATGATAACTGAAAATCAGGTGCAAATATCTTGAATTTAAAAACCCAAATAAGTAAACAGAACAAGATAAAGATGTTGTAAACAAAACACGTGAGTTTCTTTTGTTAGATTATAATGGTGGTGGGTGATACCAATATTGTTGAGGAAGTTATACAGTTTTGACGGATATTGATGGATTAGTATTATAAACTGTTTGAAATAAACAAGTACTTAATTTGCAAAAAAGAAAAAAAGCACTTTAAAATATGTGAGAAAACCTCTGCTGTGATCGTGCCTCTGAACAGTTTTAAAAGTGAATGCTTAACACCAAGTTGATTTAAATAAGTGTTGAAAAAATATATCCTTGAGGGCTGTTTCCTCTGTATCTAATCTATATGGATAGTAGGAAGGACACTGAGTAGCTGTTCATCAGGCCCTGTATGCGTGGATTAGACATGATCATACAATGTGTTTTAAATTTTCATTTCTAAGAAAGTGCAAAGTGTTGCATTGACTTTTAAGTTAACGTGTTAGATAAAATGTGCGGTAGTGTAAATATGACGTCTTTGACACCGTAAGTGTGTAATAACACAAAAACCTAAGCCCCTTCATGTAATAAGTATTGAATCGACTAAGCACGAAATCTGGTGCTCTGTTTACTCTCGGCAAGCAGCTGGTCATTTAACTTCCCTAAAGAAAACCTCGTTAGCATCCAAACTTCTTTACATTTTTATTTGAATGTACTCACGTTGTATAAATAATAGAGATGTGTTTTAGGGATTTGAACTCAATAAATGCGGTGTAAGTCTGTTCTCAAAAAAATATATACCACAAAATTCAGGGTGTTCCGTCTTTATTTAAGCTTATTTTTGTTTATTTCACTAAGAAATATTTGCTTAATTAAGAAAAAAAATAAATGACTGAAAATGCTTGCTTGCGTCTTTCAAAAGGTAATAAACACGTCCGAAATGTTCCAGGATTTTCGGAGATTAATGGTGAAGAATGGTGTAAGTTAGGGAAATGTCTGCACGTGCTTTCAATTTTGAAATCCACACCAAGGTTGTTCAAGCTTTCTGAAATATTACGTGTTATATTTAGTACAGATAATTTCTATTATCACTATTAGTGTAGACAGATAATAAATAAATAGCACGGAGAGATACTAACAAGTGTAAGAGATCACTCTTTATAAAGGACAATGTAATTTATTGTTTTGGCACAAACAGATGCGGGAGGATTGCCTTTTCTTTCATATTGATAACTAGGTTCTGAATGGAGATTCCATGTCAGTCATTGGACTATACTTTCCTGCTGAACTTTATCAAATTATCACTGACATAAAATTAGTCTCCAAAATAATTTTTCAAAGAAGTATAGGAATTGGGATGAAAATTGTTCTCTTATTGTCACGTTATATAACATTCCAATAGATTATTTTTTTTTCGAGCATTGAGTGTTACAATGGAAAAACAATCTGTCGTAAACCAAGGGAATTAAATACATTTCTGCCTTAATATTCATTGTTCAATATTTTATTTCATCTTTTAAAGAATTTTCTGACATTCTTATGATTTTGTTTCATGAGAATCAGTCAGAAACTTACAACTGGTAGAAACTGTCAGACAAAATTGTCTGTTGTCCTTAGAATACGAGAATATATCATCCAAAAAAAGTATATATTGCAACATTGGAGACAAACAGTTATAGTGTTTGATATGATTAAAACTGATTTCTATGTTTCTATTTTTTTTTAAGTATTCTGCAATTTTTATATAAAGATAGATAGGACAATCTTATTTCAATGCTTTACAAGAGAACAGACAATATAGATTTAACAATGTAGTTCACCAATTTCAAAAATAAACAGATATTAGTGCGAAGACAGCTGTTTCGTCGAAAAGTTTGCAATTTAAAATGTAACATGACTCTGCATTAAAGAAAGATTCACAATCACATTATACACAAAAAATATTTTTAGACATGTTCTGTAATGACTAGTATTGACTCTGATTATAATTGTATCGAAAACAAGCTGTTTACACACAGGAATCTAGGCGACTTCAAGTGGATACTTGCTTTAAATATGAACGGCTTTGGGATTACTGTTCAGATAAAGGGAGTCAGAGCCTGCGCAGGCCTTATACCATTTATGAAGTAGTGAATATCTGTTAACCTATTTATTTCGATTCTTCTTTCCCAGTAGATGACACCACTTCTACCGGAAATCTAAAACTGTCCTCCGTATTCTCTTCCCTCCATTTCCGTTCACTGACACCTGGATATATCTTCATTAAAATCCAATTGATTCTAATTTTTGATTAAATTTTACAATTTTCAAACATCCACTCTGAGGTCACAAACATATTTCTTGAATTTCTTTCTTGAAAGCTTAAATATCATAAGCATGGGTCATGAAAATAAAATTAAGCAAATCTGACTTTAAGTCAACATTTACCCGTTCTATACACTACAGTAACAGTACATCGGTACTGTAAAACTTTGGATGTATTCAATCATTTGAAAGTTTAATTAAGTGTTTGTTGTTTTTCTGGAATCATGTTTCATAACAGAGATAATGCAATCTGTATTTTAAACTAACAAAAGAAGAGGACCCCAGGGTTTAAAAAACTGTCAATCAATCTTCAGCAATTCAAATTTGATACTTTTTACGTTACTCTTTAATTACTCAAAGGTGTATTTAATAAGTTAATCATTTTACTTTCATTGTGAAAAATTGTTAGAATTATACACCTGTTGTTTTTGTCTCAAAATAACGTTGTCGACTGTATGTGGCAAATTTATTGGCATTTTTACTTTATTAAAGTTTCTTACGTCAGGCGCATTTTTGAATGACGTCTGTTTTGTATTTTGTTTGTGGATACATTTGTATTCAAAGTTCATTCATATATATATAATGAAATTCAGTCCTAAAAACCTCTATACGGGTGTTTTATGGATTGTACTTATCCAAAGATACAATGGATACTTATGGTATAACCATAAGCCAAGGTGTCCTAATCTGGTTTAAGTAATAGATATGCGAAAAACAACCTCGTCCAACATAGTACAAAATTTAACATTTAGAGGGGTACTTTTGGATTACTGTTTACAGATTTTTTTATCCTCCTTTTCAAATTGGCTTAAATGCCTTAAATTTATCCTCAGCCACGTTTGCATTACCTTAAAATGTTGAGTATTAGAAATTTTTTATCATCCTCCAATGTCATTGAATGGGTGGCTACAAGAAGGGGTTCTTTACAGGAATTCAATTTCACGTGTGAGGGTTGAAATTTTTTTTTATAAACATGCAAAATATTTTTGAAATCCAATGATACTTTGCACCAAGTAATGAAAATTTCCTAATGTCTGCCCTTGACCATAGGAACATGATATGCCGGCAATAAATCAATATTAATAACTTGATAACAATAAAGAACCCCAACTTACATAATGGAAATTATAACTGATTGATTTTCAAGGGTGTTTAGTGCGACGGATTTCAACAAATCGAAACGATGGTCTACAACACCAACAAAGTATTGTTTGACATTGCGAATATTAAAAATAGAGCAAGAAAAAGTTTTTTTTAAGCAAGTCATATTATTCGCCAAACATAAGGTTCATATCATAACCCGACATTTTTAAAAGGTGTTAACACGATGCAGTCAATTATACATGCTGAAAATACGAATTCTTGATGCATGTATCTGTCACCATAAAACATACATCTCAACGCTATTATCACCAGACATCGTTAAAAGCGCTGTCTAATATCGGTTCTTCAAAACCATTTTTTCCTCAATCAACAGGAAACTTGTTTGAAATAAATCCTCTAAGTTGTTTTACAATGAAGGTAAAAATGTGCAAGTAAATATGTGAAACAAAGTTTATATTTGAGAAACACCAAGGGAACAAGATGTGTTTGTGAAACACTGATGCCCCCGTATGGCAGCTTATGGCGAAGGTTAAAGTTTCTCAAACGCAAGTCAAACTCCAAGGTCAAGAGATCAAAAATGTTGTTAACCAAAGTAAGGACTAGTGTCAGTGGATATACCTAATAAATATGAAAGCTCAAGCACCAACAAACCAAATGTTATGGTCAAGGTTTATGCTTTCTAAAAGTGGGCCAAACTCCAAGGTCAAAGGGTCAAAATTAATAGTACACAGGGGAAGACTTTGTCATAAGAAATACACAAGCAAAATATAAAAGCCCTAGCACGAACTATTCAAAAGTTATGGCGAATGTTTTTTTTTCAAAAGTAGGTCAGACTCCAAGATCAAAAGGTCAAAACTGTTGGTATCCATGGGAAGGTCTTGTCACAAGGAATATACCTGTGAAATTTGAAAGCCATAGTACTAACTATTCAAAAGTTATGGCCAAGGTTATGGTTTTTTAAAAGTGGGTAAAATCTATGGTCATGGTCAAAATGTCAAAAAATATTTACTCCAATGGAAAGGTCTTTTCACAATGGTCAAAGTTATGAAATATGAAAGCCGTAGAACCAAATGTTCAAAAGTTATGACCAGTGTTAAGGTTGCGTATTTCTTTGCAAAAGTGGGTCAAATTCCAAGGTCAAGGTTAAGAGGTCAGATATGTTGGTACCCAACGAAAGGTCTTGTCACAAGGAATACACATGTGAAATATGAAAGCCATAGCTCCAACTGGTCAAAAGTTAAGGGCAAAGTTAAAGTTTTTGTGGACAAACAGACAGACGGACAGGGCAAAAATTATATACCCACGAATCTTCGATACGGGGGCATAAATAAAAAGTAATATTTTCTTAGGTTCTTTAATTTTCAGTAAGGCGTACAAAAAAGGAAATATGGATAATTAGAGTTTGATGGAAAACTTAACACAAAGTACAAAATTTTATTTCTCCATTTCAAATTCTTAATTTCGAATTGATATATCTACATGTATTATGGAATATTTACATATGCCAATTTTGTCCAAAATTACAATGCAATGAGATCGCATCACGCCAAAGCAAAAATCTCATTAAGGAAAAGAAGGCCGAAATGGAATGCCTGGGGACAATAAGAATATTTTAAGAAACAAGATGTGTTTGTGAAACACGGATGCCCCCGTATGGCAACTTATAGCAAAGGTTAAACTTTCTCAAATGCATATCATATATTTTGTTACCCAAAGTAAGGTTTTGTCTTGAGGAATATACCTGTGAAATATGAAAGCTCTAGCAGCAACCATTGAAAAGATATGGAAAAGGTTAAAGTTTTACAAAAGGAAGTCAATCATCAAGGTCAAGGATTACACATGTGAAGTATGAAAGCCCTAGCACCAACTGTTCAAAAGTTATGGCCAAGGTTAAAGTTTTCCAAAAGTAGGTAAAACTCCAAGGTCAAGGTCAATGGGCTACATTTGTTGGTATCTAAAGAAAGGTCTTGTCACAAGGTATACACATGTGAAGAATGAAAGCACTAGCACCAACCGTTCAAAAGTTATGACCAAGGTTAAAGTTTTCCAAAAGTGGGTCAAACTCCAAGGTCAAGGTCAAAGGGTCAAAGTTGTTGGTATCCAAAGGAAGGTCTTGTCACAAGAATTACACATGTGAAGAATGAAAGCCCTTACACCAACCGTTCAAAAGTTATGGCCAAGGTTAAAGGTCGGTAAAATTTTGTAAAACTGGGTCAAACTCCAAGGTCAAGGTCAAAAGGTCAAATATGATAGTACCCAAAGAAAGGTCTTGTCACAAGGAAAACACATGTGAAATATGAAAGCCATAGCTCCAACCAATCAAAATTTATGAGCAAGTTTTTGTAGACAAACAGAAAAACAGACAGACAGATGGGCGGACAGGACAAAAACTATATACCCCCGAATCTTCGGTACGGGGGCATAAAAATATATGGAACACTAGATGAAATCCCGCGCAAACACGGGGATCTGAATTTTTACCACGGCTGACGGAATAATTCCAGTAATATATCATAGTTTCTAATGACAATTAATTACAGGCATGTAGCAGGAAGAAATACTTTGTTCAAAATTCCGCAGTTGGCTTAGGAGCAGAAGTAGATACATGTATACCCCCTTCCTCGTCTTTTTTTCCCTTTAAAATCTCAATTTCACTAATTAATTGACGTTTTCTTTTTTACATGTTAGCAACTTTATTTTTATACCTGACGTATTATGTTATACGTATTGTATTTCGGGGGTGCTCTGTTTCCACTTCCATCAAGGATAAACGAAGTGAATGTGCTTATTTTACGTGAGTTTGTCAGCACAATTTTTTTTTTGGGGGGGGGGATTAAAAATTAGCTTTTCACACCTTCAATTATTGAGTTATGTATAGTTCCAATATTTAATACAAAAGACCGTATGCAGAAAAATTGATTAAAGTATAAATTTTTAAAAGCTTATCCATTCATAAAACCATATTCATCATGTTCATACACTGACATTTGCTCTTTTGTTTATTAATAATATTATAATATACAATTTTTACTTCGGTTTCGTTGCCACGATGCTCTCAGTGGCGAATATACACATTTTACTGTTTAACTGGTAAATTTGTTAACGCAACTTACTAACAGTCTTTCGATATATAAATAAATATATTCACAACTTATAGTGTTATCAATTACTTTACCATTATTCCATGTCCATTCACATCAAAAACATTTTTATATCCATGAAGCGCTATAAATGCCTCGTTTTCCTTGTAACATCGGATTCGATGCCATCTGATGTTCTAGAAATTTCCGTGAAGATATAGACGGATAAAACTTAGATCGGATATTGGCGAAAACGATTTGCATTTTGTTTTTTAATCAGTAATTATAACTAATTTTTCTGTATAACGTAAATCAAGTTTTCACTGAATAATTTATTAATGACATTTTATCAAATAATTAAACGCTTGCTTGTCGTCAGTTTCATTAAAAATTGCCTGTAACTTAGATCCGCCAACCATAACCACCACCGTACTCTCTTTTTTGCTATTTCAAGGCGAAAATAAAAGTAGGTTTTTAATTAAATTTACGACAATTAGTATACGAATGAAATCTGAATATAGTTTACAGACATCACCTCATATCTAGTGGAATAAGAGAGAATTAAGTATGAAATATGACGCAGGCGTTTCGGAGTTTATTTGCAAAATTTATTAATCTATAAGTATAGATATGTCTTTTTCACCTGGTGCTTTTGAAAGATGGTAACAAATATTCGCTGCTTTTGCAAAAAAGCATGTGCACCCAAGGACCAAGGTTGGTTAACAGCTCATAACCAGCACTTGCTTTTGTAATAAAAGATTTCGCTATAGTATAATATTGTTATAATATTATTCTTTTATAATCATTAACATACAAATCGACTACTTATTGGTTTTATAAATGTGAAGAAAAATGTTATTGTAAAGATAATATTGAATGTTATTTTAGAGGGCAAACATACGACTATGTTCCTCTCAATTGTTGCACCGACTAACAATCTCTCTCTCTCTCTCTATATATATATATAGAGAGAGAGAGAGGTTGCCATGTCAGCTCTGAAAGCTATGCTATAGTTGTTACTATTATTAAGTTTTATGCTTAAAAACATTGATATGACAACTCCACAAATAACTGTCATGCATCGGTCCTTTGTATTTGTGGGAAACCCAACAACAAACAGTCTTAACCCTTTACAAACTTCTCATGTAAATTTTTTTTTATCACTTCTCCACATTCAAATACGATTCATATCTTTCCTGAAGTTGTGGGTTTCACAATCAGAATGTACAAAATCTTGGTTTTCTAAAAATAAAAAATCCGATTTTTGATAAGCCCAAATTTCGTTCACTCTTTTTTTCCCTATTCAGACACTTAACTGTAATACATTCAGTAATTCATGTGTTTTAATTTTAGAGATGTCACGACTCGGAGTTATCAGGAGACCCTCAGTTAGAAAGAAGAATCCGCCAAACGTTTGTAAGAACAGAACCGTCAACATCTAAAGTCTCCAAGTCCATAACTTCGTTACTGTTGCATTTCAACTGGCGCAAAATCAGCCTCGTTCTGGGTAACCGAACAGTATGGAATCAGACGGCAGAAAATCTGAAATCCTTACTGAGGGAAAATGATATCGAAATTCGTAAAGAGGTTCTCTTTCAAGAGCCTTATTTTCCTAGCCTAGATATGTCAAAATACGTTCACGCCACCGTCATGTCAACACGAAGTAAGGATTTTACATAGCTGTGTATATTTAAAAACCCTCTTAATAATTACCTAAGTATGTTTGCACATTAAAGTACACAAACTATCTTTTTTCAAAAAATGATAATTAGAATAGAATTGTCAATGTAATTATTTATATAATATACTAGTATGCGTATTTGAAGACTTTTAACGCAGCCGTTTTCCAAGGTTTAGATACTTAACAGAACAGAAGATAAAGAACTGCTTAATGATTCATAACATCTATACTTTAATTTGCAGTTTATGTTTTCCTTGGTGACTATCACGCTCTCATAGACTTTGTCCGAAGTTTGGACAAACAACCAAAAGACAACGGAGATTTTGCAGTTATAACAGTTTTGGATGAACAACCCACCTCAAAACTTAAACACTTTTTGAAAAGTGAGTTTATATTGATAGAAAAATGTTAAGTCAATATTGAAATTAGTTTGCTGGCTAGATAGTTACAGTCTATATAATCAAGGCATAACGCTTGCTGTCTCAAAAATGAGGATTGTTGGATTTGTATGATTGTTTGAAAAGAAATTAGAACCTTTGGTAATATGGCAACTGTAAACCGTGGGGGGGGGGGGTGTCTAAAATTAACACTATTTCTTTTCTAATAATAAGGCCATTCCAAGTTTTTTTTTCTATGTTTAGCGTCCGCGTGCGCCTTGGTTTTTGACACTCTATATCAGAAAAAAAACAAACAAAATCAGGAGTCCTGAAATTGATTATTCTGGTTGAAATCTTTGAATTCTGTCAATTTTGCTACATATTTGTCTACAAAATGCCGTATTAGGTATATTTTATGCAATTTATACCTTAATTTTGCAAAAGAAGAAATTTTTCTACAAGAAAAAAATCTTAATGAAATTATAACCTTTGACAATGTAATTTGTGTGACTTTAAAGTCTGTGGTTTTTTTTTTTTGTGTTTTTTGCGAATAGGTAGGAAGGTTTTTGAAAGATGCTTGCACTTTTTGTTGCAAAAGAATGACGTCGCTTTTTCCTATTGTGACGTAAAAATTCTGTCAGATTACATAAGGGAGGTTTAGCTTGGAACGGCTCAAATAATCAAGGAATGTTTTTATGTTTTGTGTGAGTTATTAGTGTGTAAATCACACAGACTTGTCACGTAGGCATATTCACCATCGAAAGAGTCCATAATTGTTTTATTATATAGTCAGGATTAAGATAAATAAGACATTGAAGGCTGCATGGCGATTTCATATTCATTATTAATTAATGAACGAATTCATTAACGAACCCATTAATGAAGAAAAAAATGTCCAGATAACAATTATATCTTTTGTGTTTTCCTTTCGCTGTGTAAGACATAGAAATGTTTGGAAAATAATCCTGCGATAGACTTACTTAACATTTTTCCTGCTCAGACTCCGGCCGTTTTCAACGCGTTTGAAGTATTGATTGTGACGTCACAATGCCGTTGCACGCGCACTGACCCCCCGGTGAATACGGCTTCAAATCCAGTGAATATGTAGTATTATGAACTGTTCGCGTTTGTATAGATTACATAGGAACTATTTATAGACTATATAATAATTTGTTTTACTTTTATAGAAAGGACAAAGAATTTTCTCTTTTTCAGCACAGAAAAAAAAATTATTCTTAAATATTTTTGCACTTTTTTCTAAATAGATATTATGTATTCATCTTTTATTTTAAGCTCCGTTTGAGACAGAATTGAAGGATGAACATTGGATGGCCTTCCGCAATGTTCTGGTTATATCCCCTCGTTCTCCCAGTAACCCGGAGTGGGACAGTTTTATTGACGATGTGCGCATGCGTAATATGGAGCCACCAATAAGTCTGCCACGCCCGCCACCTTCATTGAACGTAACGGTTAGTCTTTATTCCAGAATCAGAAATAGAGCAAAATTATTTGTATTTCAAGAAATTACGATTCGATAATTCTTTTTACACACAGGTTCAACAGGTTGTACCGATTCAAGCTGCCCATTTGTACGATGCCGTTATGGTGTTGGCACGCGCACTAGATACTGTAATATCAAACAATGGAAGTAGTCTCAAAAACGGCAGAGACATTGTTTCAAACATCCAGAAAGCTTCTTTTAAAAGTGAGTTTTTGTTAGAAATGTCTTTTAAATATGAAGGGGGTGATATTTTGGTGGTCACAACGCTCAGGTGTGCAAATTAAGAAATATAAACCCAAAATACAAAAAAGAATAAAATTGTTTTCGTATTTTGTTATTTAAAAAATCCTTATATTATCTGTAATGCTTCATTATTTTCTCGGATAGTTTAAAAATGTCAGTCATTAAAAAAATCTACCGATTTCATTATGTGCTTTCTGTTGCTTCTTGTCCTGTAATAATTTAAGAAGAGTTTCAAACATTTAAAAAATGCCTCTTCAGGATGCCTCTTTCTGGAATGTACAAACAATTATTTATGGTGAGGATTGAAATGTTTTATAGCTTATGGATAGTATTTTTATCTCCATTAAGCTTTATAGTTTTGGACAGAACAAAAATATTGCATTTTATTCTACAAATGACCCTTCTGTCCTCTCTTATCGGCTGCTTCTTCTTACATCCCGACATGAGAAATATCTCCTTCATGACGTCCATGAAAAGAATTGTTTAAAACATTTTTCCCTTCCTCCTTCTCTTATTTTTCTATAAAGAAGACAAGGACATTAGTGGGATACACATTTGATCATTAAATTAATGTCACTTAAATTAATTTTTGTTTTGGAGTCTAGCATCTATCTTATCTATCTTAAGAAAAGAATAAATGTTGAAATATTTCCAGATCATTGGTGAGTAAGCAAATTAGAGTGTACGGTTTTTTATTTATTTCTCAGTGAAGATTATATATATATATATATATATATATATATATATATATATATATATATATATATATATATATATATATACGTTCGCATGCTTGGAAGCAATCTATTAAGTATGTCTTCTTCGTAATTCAGTTTTCATAAAAATACAAAGAATAGTGATGAAATAGAGCGACATGTGTATGTAAAATGATCACTCATATTGGGTTATTGAGAAATATTTAAAATTTGCCTGAAATGAATTAAATTTAGACCTCCTCGACTCAGATGTGGATGATTTGGCAAAGCACTGAATAGTCTTTATCTCTTGATGCTGGTTTTTATTGTTAAAAAGACCTCAATGATATGATCTTTTAATTGCAATATTATTAAAATCATACATCGCGTTATCAAGCTAATGGACACATTTTTCTGAGACAAAAGATGCCAATAATTGAGAGAATTGATCTTATTGTACGGTATTATACCACTCGCTCACATGTTTGTTAGTTCAAACGGTTCTACGCATTGAGTCTCCTGTGTTCACCAGAGTACTTACACCCCGTGTCACCTCTTGATTATTCTATTTAAAACTGTATTTAAATGAATTTGTCTCTCAGCTGATTTGCATTGATTTTTGGGGAACCACTTGGCATTATCTTGACCTTTTTGAGTGCAAATTTCTGACGCGCATATAATGGTGGTCTGACAAGAAGCAAGAAGTAATGCAGAATAGATACATTTACTTTTGCTATATATTATGATATGCCTTTTCTCACAGATCTATATGAGTCACCCGACGAGCTGAGACCGATACACAGCAATTAATGTCATCAATGGGCATTATGATGCCTCTTTATTAGAAAGCATTCCTATAACATACTAAATTAAAGCATATAATATTTCAGAAACTGATCGAGAGACTATAAAACTTAAGGGTCTAATGATTGTGAGTGATGATTTCGAATTCAAAATAAATTAAAATATTTAAATTTTACAAATTTTATAACTAATATTGTAGATAATGAAATTAAAGCTGGCTAATTTCAGGTATCCAAGGTTTTGATGTTTACGTGGACGAGACTGGTGACGCAGAAGGCAATTACTCACTCCTGTCCTTGACAATGCCAGCGGAAGGTCGGCCTTTCCTCGGTCCTGTCGGCTGTTTCAATAGATACTCCAGCGACCTTGGAGTGCTTGTGAGTATTTGATCAGATGTAGAAATTCAAAGACAATGCATATTTTTGAGGCAAATCAATGATAAGAGCTTCCCTTTTTATGTTCCTGTTTTTCCTACATGTTTCTTTAATATAAATATTTCCCCTATCATTCCTTCAGGAGTTTATTCTTAATAAAGAAATAAAGTGGACGATGGGACAGGTTCCTAGAGATGAACCGCCGTGTGGATTCGACGAGGAAAAATGTCAATATGAACCTGGTAAACTGAAGTATCAAATATTAAGAAAAAGACTAGAGAATTTACAGAATATACAGATGTTTGTTGAAATCTTACTGGTAGTATAATAAAGCTTCTTGGTACTATTGTTAATCTCTTGTCCCTCTTCTCCCCTCCCCCATAACGCAGGTGAATCTTAAGTAAACACCACAAAGACTTACACGTACTTAATATTTTGCTTTTTTTTTTTTTTTTTTTTTGCTTTTTGTCTCTGTTTGGATTGAAGACACTTAGCCATTAGATATGAAACATCCACTAGTACTATCCCAGAACATTAGACTAAGTATAGAGGAAAGACAACGAATTTATATGTACAGAAATTTAAGTTATTCATTGACAAGTAGAATTGTGAAATAAACTGAACTGAATTTGTTTTTCTTTGCAAACAGTACTTTTTTTTTTTTTTTTTTTTTTTTTTTTTTTTTTTTATACATAAGATCAATACCTTACATTATCGGAATTATATCCTCATAAAATTAATGATGTTTTCATATCAATGCATATTCTTTTACTGCAGGGACGCCGTGTAATTTGAAATCTGTTTTATCTTCAGAATTCGAGTAATATTTTCCGTTCAGAAAGTAAATTAATTGAAATCTTAGCTTAAGATTAAAGGAAGAATATTTACTTTGTCTCTGCTGTCTCGGAATGGAATATGAATTTCCCTGAACAGTTAGTTTGTAAACAGCAAACTTGAACCCTTTGGTAACACTCACTTAGGCTCTGCATTAACATTCACCTGGTGTACAGATTTCAAGGACTGTTTACACGTTACTCAACATTCGTGTATACGGAAATTGTAAACTTTTATATGTATAGATCTATAACAAAACGGAGAAAGTTATCAGAAATGAGCCAGATTTTTGATTTTCAGACTGGAAGCTGGCCACCATATGTAGTGTGATAGCGGCAGCTGTCTGTGTCGGAATGGTGTTTGTGTGCAGGTGTGTGTGGTTTTCAGTAAACATCTTATAACTAATTCACCTGTTGAAATTATTACTCTGAATATAATCTCTAATTAAAAACAGAAATGAAAATGTAAGATTTAATCTTAGTAATAGATTTGATATTCGATGTTTTAAGGGTATAGCATTCAGTCTGAAAACAATGCATATGATCATGATGCAATTTCGTCATATCCCTAAGAGTAAACCAAAAAAAAAAAAAAAAAAAACACATTCAGAAGACATATCTTTTTATCATTTTCTTTATTTCAGGCACTACTTATACGAACAAAAGATTGCTAGGCTTCTTTGGAAGCTAGAGTACAAAGATCTAATGTTCATAGACAATGTTGAAGAGGTCATATCTCCGGCCAAAAGAAAGGTAACACATGAAATATGCCGTAATAAAACTGATTCCCTATATGTTATGTTTACAATTGCTTTTTTGCAATTCTGTGAATGAATTCCAGTTTGTGTCAGAAATAACATCTGGAATTTTACAGGCGGTCGATTTGATAAACTTTTAAATAGAAGATACGCCCTGATTAAATAAAGTACTTTTGCATAATTAAAAAATAATTGATTATCGACTTTATTTTCATAGATACAAAGACTGTATATCACAGTTCTCATGTTATTTTTTTATATTTCAACATTGAAACAAAGCCTTCATATAATCTTTAAATACATGTATCTGTATTACCAACACAACAAAATGTTTACAGTGTAATCATTAGTTAAGGAATTCATTGGTTATCGAGTTTTGATTCGAACAGGGAATTTAGTTAATAATAGACTGAAAAGGTATAGAATGGACACCATTGTGCTTAGTAAGATCACAGAGAATTAGGAAAAGAGTTAAATTCAGGTCTATCTGGAAAAAATACATCACAACGGAGCTTGGTTAAGTAGACCATGTATTTTTAAGAATCCCTAGCTCATCCACACAGTGAAACCTTGCAAATGATGTAGTTAAACATCCATTATTAAAAGAGATCGTATGTTGCAATTGAGAATGCATAAACTTTCAAACAAATTTACTTCTCGCAAACAGAGAGCATCAACAAGGAAAAACAATAAAATATATATAAATTCTTCTAAAATCATTAAAAAAGTCATTTTGAATTAAATACATGCATATATACAGGCTTATACATATAGCAGGACTCGCATGAAGTAGATGTACGTCTTCAAACCCTCCCCCCCCCCCCCCTTTTGTAGAAACTTGAAAAATAACAATTTTATTAATGGACGTTTATTGTGAAACCTGTTATACTATGTTATGGATATTGTACTACAGATGCTCTTATTTCATTTCCGTCAAGGATAAATGCAGCGAATATGCACATTTAACTGATAAATTGATTTTTTAGGGGGGGGGATAAAAATTCGTAAGTACTTGGGTCTTGGTTTATAAATATGTTTGTACCTTATTGATATGTAAAAAATGTACTTTACTTCTTTTTTTTTTTACATATCAATAATGTAAAAACATAGTTATAAACCAATACCCAAGTACCTGTGTAAAAATTAGCTTGTAACGCCCTATGAATAGGCCGAGTATTTGATACAAAAGACTGTATTCAGAAAAAAACTGAAATGTATTGATTAAAGCACAAAATTTCACATATTTTATTGTATTTGAACAATACCTTATTCATTCATTTTCTCTATTCATGTAAGCAAGATTATTACGAAGTACAAATTGTACTTTGGGTTCGTTGCCACGATGCTCTCAGTAAGGAATATACACAAATTATACTGATAAATTTATTAGGAAAACCTACTACATACATGTATGTGTAATAGTCTTTCAATATATAAATACATTCACAACTTATAGTGTTATCAATGATTTACCATTATTTCAATGACCATTCACACAAAAGGTTTTTTTTTTATGTTCGCCTCGTTTTTCTTTTTAACATCGGGCTCCATGCTTTATATGATGTTCTAGAAGCTTCCGTCAATATTAAGATAGGTGAATGACGAAAATAATTTGCACATTTCCCTTTTTAATCGGTTATCACAACTTATTTCTTTTATATCATTTAAATCAAGTTTTGATTGAATAATTCAGTGATGACGTTTTATGAAATAAATAAACGATTGCTTGTTGTCAGTTTCATTAAATATTGTCAGTAACTTAGATCCGCCAACCGGAAACGCCACCATACTCACGTTTTTGCTATTTCATGGCTGTTTATAGAAAATGAAAGTAGACTTTTAATTTAATGTACGATACTTACTATGCGAGTGAAATCTAAATATAGTTTACGGACATCATCTTGTATCTAGTGTATTGTTAGAGGAGTAAGTAAAAGCTCTGGTGCACTCGTTTCGGAGTTTATTTGCAAAATTTATTAATTTATAAGTATATATATATATATATATATATATATATATATATATATATATATATATATATATATATATATATATATATATATATATATAGGTACAATTTTAAAAATGAAACACGAAAACGTTTAGTAAAGCTTTAGCGCTTTCATTTTCAATCTTCAGAAGCTTTACAATCTATACTTATAAATTAATAAATTTTGCAAATAAACTCCGAAACGGATGCACCAGAGTTTTTACTTACTCCTTTAAGAATACACTAGATACAATATAATGTCCGTAAACTATATTTAGATTTCACTCGCATTGTAAGTATCGTACATTAAATTAAAAGTCTACTTTTATTTTCTATAAAGAGCCATGAAATAGCAAAAACGTGAGTATGGTGGCGTTTCCGGTTGGCGGATCTAAGTTTCTGGCAATTTTCAATTAAACTGACAACAAGCAATCGTTTATTTATTTCATAAAACGTCATCACTGAATTATTCAATCAAAACTTGATTTAAATGATATAAAAGAAATAAGTTGTGATAACCGATTAAAAAGGGAAATGTGCAAATTATTTTTGTCATTCACCGATCTTAATATTGACGGAAGCTTCTAGAACATCATATAGCATCGAGCCCGATGTTAAAAAGAAAAACGAGACGAACATAAAAAAAGCTTATGTGTGAATGGTCATTGAAATAATGGTAAATCGTTGATAACACTATAAGTTGTGAATATATTTATATATCGAAAGACTGTTACATATATGTAGTAGGTTTTCCTAATAAATTTATCGGTAAAATGCCTCACCGAGAGCTTCGTGGAGACGAACCCGAAGTACAATTTCTACTTCGTAATAAACTTGCTTACATGAAAAGAGAAAATTAATGAATAAGACATTGTTCAAATACAATTAAAGCTGTAAAATTTTGTGCTTTAATCAATACATTTCAGTTTTTTTTTCTGAATACAGTCTTTTGTATCAAATACTCGGCCTATTCATAGGGCGTTAAAAGCTAATTTTTACACAGGTACCTGCGTCTTGGATTATATATATGTATGTACCTTATTGATATGTAAAAAGAAAAAAAGTAAAGTACATTTTTTACATATCAATAAGGTACATACATATACATAAACCAAGACCCAAGTACCTGTGAATTTTTACCCCCCCCCCCCAATCAGTTTATCAGTAAAATGTGAATATTCGCTGCTTTTATCCTTGACGGAAATGATATAAGAGCATCTGAAGTACAATATCCATAACATCATGAACATAGTATAACAGGTTTCACAATAAACATCAATTAATGAAATTGTTATTTTTTCAAGTTTTTACGAAAGGGGGGGGGGGGCACATGCGGGATTTTGAACAAAGTATTTCTTCCTGCTATAACCCTGTAGGCTGTCAGTAGAAATTAACTACAATATATTTTCTGTCGGTAGTGGTATAAATTCAATTCCCCGCGCTTGCGCGGGATTTCATCTAGTAGGTAACATAGCAACATAACGTCATAACGTCATAATAAGCGGAACACAAATTCTAGCGTCTATAGTGACGTCATAGTTAAACAAGCAACCCGCTTCGCGCCCGTGTAATTACATCGGGGAATCAAGCAACCCGCTTCGCGCCCGTGTAATTACATCGGGGAATCAAGCAACCCGCTTCGCGCCCGTGTGCGTGTCCACAGACAACATATTAACTCACCGGAATAACGACAAATCCCTCTAAGTGAGCAATTGGATCGCTGTGGAAATAAACAGTTTACTATATTTCCTTTTTACAAACTTTCAAATGAAAGTGACATCCAGAGACGCGAAAAAGAAAAACATTTTATACATATTTTCAAACCTAAACTTAACAATTTATCGTAATCGTAATCACAATTGTACATATTGTTTTCATTCTACAAAAATATATATATATATATATATGAGGTATTTACTAAAGTTGAGGAGTGTTCAATACAGATCAAGATATTTATATCCAAAAAAGTGTTTAAAAAGGAAAAAAAATTGTCAGTACTACACGTCCATCTGGTCACTTCACACACACTGAATATCAAAACGTTATTAACTGAAGCGAACACCTTACAGGGAGAATGCCCAGATCCTAAGGGGTGTATAGAATATTTTGGAGGTGATGTACACAATATAAAGGGATTTTTAGCAAAGAATGACTTTTTATAGATAAGAGACATAAGAAGTTCAAAGCTAATAAAAAAAAAAGGTTTGAGAAATGTATTTCAAGAATTCAGTGAGGTTGATTGTTCATTTCCAGAGCATCCTCACAACGTCAGGGGTTCGGAGTCCCCTGACGTTGTAAGGATGTTCCAAGAGTAAACATTTGGAAATTATCTTATCATTATTCTTAACTATAAAATAATGAGGAAAAAAACTTTGTCGCACAAATTGAACTTTTCACAAGGGTGATTGATCGATCGATCAATCGAGAGAGAGAGAGAGAGAGAGAGAGAGAGAGAGAGAGAGAGAGAGAGAGATTTTGTAAAAAAAAAAAAGAAGAAAAGAATGTCCTATAGATGATGATCCATGGTAGGGGGACAGTTTTATCTTAACAATTTTCTTTTCATTTGATCCTTTTGCCTTGGTCATTACATACTCTTTGATCGTAAAATACGTTACTCCAAGTATGAGCTTTTAATGTTTCATCACTAGTAAGAATTTTGCATTTCCAGTCCTTGTTACCTTGAACAAATAATCTTGATTCAGTGTTATTAGACACTCTCTTGTAATATTCCATCTAGCCAAAAATTGAATTATTATGTGTTTTTACTGAAAAAGTAAATAGAAAGGGAACTTTATATAAAGAGACATAGAATTTTTTTTTCAAAAGCCAGTAACATCAAAACGTACGACTTTCCTATACTTGATGCAACCATAATTAATTAATTTGATAAATCAAAAACTAGACTTTTTGATATCGTAGATATTTTTTTAATTTCTTTTTCAATAAAAATGGAAGTCGGAAATTTTCCTATCTTATGATTGGTCATCAACAAAATTAATTTGTCAAAAAATCACTCTGATTCTACGCACAAGTACTCTGAAGTTGATATTAAAAGGATGCTGGAGTTCCTCATTGACAACATTTATGTAGTCTTCGCAGACCAGGTCTTCCAACAAACTGTTGAAATTGCAATGGGCACTAATTGTGCTCCTTTATGAGCTGACCTGTTTTTATATTCCTATGAAGCAGAATTTATTAAAAAAAAAACTTTCACATGAGAAGAAGAAAACACTTGCTGTGGCCATCAACTCGACATTTAGATATATCGAAGATGTACATGTATTATCGATTAGCAATAGTACTTTCATTCCCATGTCGATTAGATATATTCTAGTGAACTTGAAATAAAAGACACCACAGAGTCTGCCACATCTGTTTCATATTTGGATGGTTTACTGACTATAGACGATAAGGGCCAACTAACATCGAAATTGTATGACAAACGAGAGGACTTTTCCATCGTCCTTTCCTTATTTATGTAGTAAAATCCCACTATCACCTGCATATGGTGTTTACATCTCCCAACTTATTCGATACTCAAGAGCATGCTCCGAGTACGATCAAGTTTTTAACCGAGGCAGCTACTGACAGATAAATTAATGTTACATGGATTTCAACAACCTCATTTAAAGTCAGCACTTCGTAAATATAAGCTATCATTGGTTCGTTTTTTTTTTTGTTTGTTTTTGGCCGACTTGTTTCATAACAATTGTTAGGACTTTGTTTACATACTAAATTTGACTACGGAATGGGCTGTCTACCTGATCAATATGTAGGGCCCACGGCGGGTGTGATCAGTCAACAGGGGATGCTTATTCCTCCTAGGCACCTGATCCCACCTCTGGAATTTCCAGGGATCCGTGTTTTATGCCCTCTTCACAGAATTGTATTGTTTATGGATACATGTATTTTGAGATCGATCACTGAAGAAAAATATCAGAAGCTAGAATCTTATATTGATGGCACTCGATCGCACCAGATCGTAGCCAAGATTTTATCATTGGCTTTTCCATTATCTTGTAGAGGAAATCAAAGATACTGTTAGGATATATTAAACGTTGATTTCATGGTGCAGTTGATAACAGCACTTGTATCCAAACTGTGGAGAGGTAACCCAGTGATCATGAAAAACCAAATATATTCATTGTTAACTAAGTTGTAAAATATGTTCACCACTACTTTTCCCAAAAATTGTCAAAGCTTTTCTCTATAGAATAAAAAACAACATATCGAGAGAAAAAAAAATAGTATGTCGACTTCGTCCGAATGTTTGTGTTTATTGAATTGGATCTTAATTTTTCGCAAAATTCGCTGAAATTTTATAGGGACCTCTCGATAATCACATCAATCCCAGGAGATTCCTACCTAATTGTTCCTTAGTATCACATTACTTTACTGTTTCCTGTGACAATTAATCAATAAAACAACTTAACCTTAATAAAGTTGTAGGAGTCCTACTGATGTTAATGCACAACATTATAAATAAGGTTTGGCACATAATAGTATTCGATATGAACAGTTCTTCAAAAGCATACGCTAGTTTGCGAACTATATCAGTTTCATGTAAAAAGTTACATATTCGTGGCTTACAATAAAAAAAGTTTTGTACTCATCCCCATTGCGGCTTATTCTCTTTCTTAAGAATTCAAAATCTAAGAGTTAAAAGCTATTGATTTGTCTGATGAGGTTACCAAGTATCCAATAACGGAAGACTTGAAAATAAATTTTAACGTAAACGTTGTTTTTCGGTCCCAATGTCGCTCAAGGGACAAATAACTGTTCTATACCATATAACCATAGTTTCTTTGATTCTCAGCTGATAGTTTGCGGATATCATGAATTCATTTAAACTAATCAATTTGCCGAAAACATGACTAGTGAATGTTAAAAACATTTCCTCTGTCAACTCCATGAAAAAAGTGGAAGTCAAGCTTCCAAACTCTGATTCATCACTCGCCATTAGAACTAACTTTTAACGTTTTAGCGACAATAAACATTGTATGTAAACTTTCCTGATGCAATTCATTATTAAAATGTTTATTTTAAATTGAAACAGTTTCTGAAGTCGAAATAATTAAGATAGCAATTGTACTTTTATATACGTTTTAGTGTCATATTGCATTTTAATATTTTTCGTGGTAATTAATACAAAACATCAGATATATTCACATTTTTTATGTTTGCACAATGTGTTGGTTAGGTTTAGATGTAAAGTGTGCTAGGGAGAGTAGATATAGAAATACGTAGAAATCACAAATATTTGGTTAAAAAAATGTCTATTTGCATTGAAATATGTCAACATTTTTTTATTTACAGTATGATTTTAGATTAACAAAAACGTGCTTGCCATGAAAAGCCTTTTTATTATCTATTTGTTTTTTCTAGAAGCGAAGTAGTGAATATTTCCCAAGTCTGTTCCCTAAATATTATAGTTACTTAATGGGTCTATCACGCAGCGATCTAATAAAGGTGAATAATACCAGTATTTTGCATGAATGTGTACTTGTCAACACTTAACAGTCTGAATAGCTCTATATTCATGTTGCAACAAAGCTCTCATAACATTAATTGTAGAAGCTACTCGTCTTCTATTTTATAACATGTGTATGTTAACTATATGGGATTACTAATCTACACAAAGTGTTCTGTAAGACTGTGTTGTTTAAATTATTTTGATTCTTCAGTAAATATGTTGTGGAATGAATCTAATTTGTAGTAATTAAAGCCTTGCTATAATACTGTATGAAGATTCAATATCCTATAATTGTAATTCAAATTACATTTACATGTACTTCTATTTATGCAATTTGTATTTTTAATATGTATTTTTCAATATTTGTATGTGTTTTTATAGCTGTCAGAAATATAAAGACCTTTTTTTCTTCCTTCAGAATTCCTCGATTTTGAATATTGAATGTTGTTTGAAGTAGCTATCTGTGTAAGACATGGATTTTTTCAGAATACAGTTTTAGACTGTACCATAACATAAAAAGCAACAAAACACACAAACATCCGAAAACGTTTTTCCAAAGTTGAAGAAATAATCATGTCTTTTAACTGGGGACTTCTCTGTCCACGAAATGTAGTTTAGATATTGAGTAAAGTCTAATGTCTGATATATACAAGTATATTGTTGACAAAAGAGCACTTGTTTCTGGGTATATATAAAGCTTACCGCATTTACCCGCAATCCTATGCTTCACACATATGCTTACGAAAGTTTAGATTGCTGTAGATACCGTGAATTTAAGTTTATGTGGTTCATTAAAGATTGACATTGTTTAGAAGCAGAATATATAGACATGCAAGCATTGTGTTGAATGTAAACTGGTGACTGCAGCAACACCTTGTGCTCTTGTGTTCCACTGAGAAAACCTCCTCAATGTACTATATAGCATCTAAAGTTATGCTTTTTTAAAATCATTATCTTTTTTGTCATTTCTATGTCGTAGAAGGATTTTCAAAACTTCAACATTATGGATATATTTGCGCTGAAATGAAATAAAAACAGATGTCATTGAATTCTTAAAAGCTACAATATGTGTTTCTGTCATCTTCGCTAGCCAAGGGTTTCCGATCCGAAATTTACTCTACAATGTTGTAGAGTAGATTTCGGATCGGAAACCCTTGGCTAGCGAAGATGGTTTCTGTAAGCTATCCATTTAAATCTTCCACGTTGTAAAATTATTGTAGCAAGTTTTTTTCAGCAGGGAATTGTTGCTGTAAAAGAATATTTATTGTTTGTTTTAGCCTTTCATTGTTTTTCAATTGAAATTCCTTCCTCATTAATTGAATTCTTTTTGAAAATAATTATACTTATCTGTTCATTTTGATTGTTGTATCGACAATGAAGGGAAAATAATCGTTCTTTTTAAAATCATTTTATCAAGTCTTTAAAAATTAACTTTTGGCAATGTATTGAAAAAATAATTTGTTTTAGCATGTCTTACAATTAATTATTTCTTCAGCTAAAGATTTATATTTTTTCTGAAACAGAGAAAGTCACACACATCTTGGAGGTTCCTCATCGATGGCGACGAATCAGGGAGGTCGACACTTCTCGGTACCACAAAATCTGACTCAGGAAGGTCGACATTTTTCGGTAACAAGTCCGACAAGAAGGGCAGTACTCGTGGCTCAGTAGCCACACATCCCATAAAAGTAGGCTCCTATAAAGGGACCATGGTCTCCATAAAGATACTGACCAGGAAGAGCCTAGATATGAACCAGTCACTAAAAAAACAACTCTATATCAGAAAAGAACTCACCCATGATAACATCAACAAGTTTATAGGGGTCTGTGTGGAATCCCCACATCTATATATAGTAACACAGTACTGCGCCAGGGGAAGTCTTAAGGTATGTATAAGGTTATTTTTTTTACTGATTAAAATAGTTTTTGCTGAAGTTACTAAAGTACATTAAGTACGTAGGTCACGAACAAATACTGAAACAATATGTATGGACTTTATGGTAATGCGCCCATTAAAATAATGATTCTGGGTGATTCAAATTCCTAAATAGTAAGAATACATGTAGATCTAGGGTATAATTCTGGATGCTTATGATTTTTACAATAAGTTCAATATTTCTCGTACATTAGGGTTTTGAGACCTTAGTAGGAGTAAAATTAGTGTAGTTTATGTTTCAAACAAGTGCAAAAGTGCACTCGAAATTTGATACACGTGCTTTCTTCCATTCATAATGTTAATTTCTCCCATCAAACAGAACAGCGAATGGTCAAACAATTTCATCATTTAAGAGAGTATTCCCCATAGTTAAATATAGCCATCTTGTAAACTTACATTTGAGTTTTGAGTTTAAACAAATTTATTTTCATTTCAACAGTGAAATACATTTATTTTTGCAATCCTCTGTATTTGAACATCTGATAGTTTGCTTTTGCTAAGAACTGCATTTTTCTTTAGGCCCCTTTATACAATGTTGAACAATGACTTTTGGACTTTGAGAAAATTATGTAGCGTAATGAAAAAGGTGAAGATAACGAACAGTGATCGATCTAAAAAAAAATCTACAAATAATACAAATCTGTGAAGAGGGCATAAAAGACGAACCCCTGGAAATTCCAGAGGTGGGATCAGGTGCCTAAAAGGAGTAAGCATCCCCTGTTGACCGATCAGGTAGTCAAATTTAGCATAAAAGGCCGAACAATTGATATGAATCACTTCAGCCAATTATTGATTATATTTCTAACAAGGTCATTATAAGGACCATAGAATTTACGAGATACTGACTTTAAAAATGGTTGGTGAAATCCCTGTAGTACATTATATATAAAAATTATCTACTAGTTTCTTTAAAAAAAGGTGCATACCTTTTTTACCCAGGAAAAATCTTCAATGACAACGAAGTACTGATAAAGACAAATTGGGTTTGCTTACTTAAATGGGGAAAAGAGATGTAAATAGTTTTCAATTTCTTTATTTTGGTTTAGTATATTTTTTGGAATTCTTGAATTAATTACAATATATATATATAATACAATTCACATTACAATTTATTCTATTTTATAATCAAATGGTGGATTAATCTTAATTACACATACGTTCCCTGAAATTGATGTGCGATGTAGAGAGGGTCCTTAAATAGACAGAGGGTAAAAATTAAAAATTCAAAAAAAAAAAACAAAAACAAAAAAACAAAAAAAACAAAAAAAAAAACAAAAAAAAAAACACGATATGGCTGATTCCATGTGATTTTTAGTGCTTGGGGAAAAATATTGAATTGTAAGGTTTGATATCGTATAGGAATATGTAGTAGAAGGTTTCAGATCCTTTAAGCAAGTGGCATGTCTTAAAATGGCAATAGAATATCCACAATGCTGATATGCATCAACCGTGTTTCTCCTTTAATAACCTTGTTTCTGTTTATGCTGACCTAATTTCTTGAATGATTAATGAGATTTCCTCCATTATCTTCAGAAATCCAGCATCGTTTTTTTTTTCTTACGGGGAGTTATGAATCTGGATTGTAAAGAATTTGCTGAAAAGAATTTGATATGCTCATGCCAGAAAAAGATGTATCTTGTCTTCCTCGGCAAACGTGATTGTAAACCATGTTGTGTGGAAGAAACATCAAATACCTTGACTGACTTTCTTCTCTTTTTTTCTATTTGTTCTGGTTATTTTTGTAGAAATCTTTATTTATTCTATTCAATCTTAAAACTTGAGAAACATTTAGTGCTAATGGAAATCTGCTAAAATTTATCAAAGTCAAATCCACCACAGACTTCCTGAATAGCTCGAATATTCTTCGATTTTCTAGAACAGTTTTTTTAATATTGCATGTAGAGAATTGATGACAAAGAGAAAGAGCTTCAAATATATATATATATATATATATATATATATATATATATATATATATATATATATATATATATATATATATATATATGTATGTATGTATGTATAAGTAAAAGTCAAAATACTGCAAGATAAGAAAACGTTAACAAATTTAGATTTTCCCTCTTTCTTGATAGTTTTGTTTGTGAAATATTAAAGCACTTGCCTTTGGTGTTAAATAATTTCGCTAAAATTTAGATTTGTCGCTGAAAATGATTTTTTTTTTTACATTGCATTAAATAACAAAGATAGATTGACACTTGTAATTGTTAAGATGAGTTGAGAAATTAGAATGTTTAACTATAATATCCCTTTACATGAATTTAATAACCATATGACAAGCGAGTAATACGATAAGTATAATTATTTCCTTTTATACTTTGTAGAGAATAAAACCACCATCAAAGCATGAGGGAATGCGTCATCGCTTTTTTGTACGAATTAATATAATTTAATCGATAATCATTTCTTTAAGACCGACATTAACGGGGAAACTTCTCAATTACAATAGATTAGGCATTACCGCACCCATTACACGAGGCCGCTGGAGTTGCACGGGGGAGTATTTTTGCTTTTGTGGAGGTTCTATCAATAAGTGAAAATTTAGGAGAAACACATTGAGATAATTTATAAAGTGCATTGAGATAATTTTTTAAAGTGGAAAATATTCTGTAAGATTTTAAAGTTTAGGGGAAAACTCGCGGTTCCATCTTCAATTAATGTGAAATCTCTTTTGGTAGCGGTATTCAGAACATCTCTATATTCGAATGATTACTATTTAAAGAGTAATATAGAATGGAGAGTTGTAACCCTAATTGTAACATTTAAAACGTAAAGCGAGGCAAAATTCATTATCTTTTGATTAATAAAATGGGGAAACGTTTTTGTAAGGTTTATGAAGAATTTTACATGAAGAATGAAGTACTATCAAGAAAGACTTTCAAGTTTTTCCGATGATCTCAATCTACAACAAATAATACTGAGAAATTGAATAGGAATAAACAGAAAAAAATTAATGACTTTATTTAAGGTCAATATTCAGAGAAGATTTGATTGAATTCAGAACATTGGCATCAAATTATAGACACAACAGAGGGGGTGAAAAGTGAAAAATCCTGGTATTATCAGTTCTCAACCTTACAGCAACAAAAAATGGGGGAAGGAGCAACCAGCATCTAAATGAAAATTTATTATAACCCCCCCTCCCCCCGCGTTCTACGGGTCTGGCTAATTAGCCATGGGTTTCTCGATGGAACGTATAGGAAAAGAAATTTAATTTACGCATCACTTTGAAAATTTTCCCTTATGGATTCATTATAAGTTAATAATAAAAAAAACCCCATGTATATGGTAATTTATATCTTTTAAAGGACATTCTGAAAAATGAGGACATTTATCTGGACGATATGTTCATCGCCTCCCTTGTGGCGGATTTAATCAAGGTATCGTCGTCTATTTCTATTCTTAACGGTTCTTGTGTTCTATTTCAAGAAGTGATATTAGGGTCCATGATTTCAAATTTCAACCTTTTGTAGGGAATGATCTTCATTCATGACAGTGAAATTGGTTTCCATGGGAATCTGAAATCTTCCACCTGTTTGGTGGATAGTCGATGGGTTCTCCAGATCGCCGATTTTGGTCTGCAGCAGTTGTTAAGCAAAGAAACAAGTATCAAAGGGGACACAGAGAGTCATTACGATGGTAGGAAGACCGAAATGTTTCTTAATGTAGATCTCTGCATATTCATAGATAAGCAATATAAACAAGATCTTTTCTTTGTTGCACTTAAGTTTAATATTTTTTTTTCAAATACCAGAATTGTTATGGACCGCACCAGAATTGCTGCGCTCAAAAAATGCTCACACTTACGGAACTCAGAAAGGGGACACATACTCCTTCGCTATCATTCTGTATGAAATTCACGGACGAGAAGGTCCTTGGGGAAACACAAAATACACGCCATCAGGTTCGATTTTATTTACTTAATTCAAAAGTTGTTTAGTGAAACAAATTATCTAGACTCAATGCATAAGTGATGAAGCTTTTCTTTTAGTATAGTAGTACTTCTTGTAATTTGTTTTTTATTCTTAAAGTCAAGATTACAAACATCAATGATACAATTGTTACTCTCAATAAGTAGTACTTCTTTTATTAGGAAAAAAAAGTAAGCATGGACTCTTTTAGCATAAGTAATGAAACAGATATTCATAAATAGCGCATCACTGCGCATCATATATGTAGATGATATACTAGTATCCTCTCGAGAGTACTAACCATGGTAACTGGACTGAGAAATGGTAAAGTGTTTCCACACTGGAGGGAGAGACCTTCATTTTAGTTTTTGTTCATTGTAGAAATTGTCAACCACGTGATACGTGACGCTGCTGAGGCCCCCTTCCGGCCTGATATAACCAGATTGTCCTGTGAAGACTTTATTAAACAGTGTATCACCGAATGCTGGCATGAAGCCCCCGACTTCAGACCTGACTTTAAGTACATCAGAGTCCGTCTGAAACCCATGCAGCAGGGACTGTAAGCAAATAATCACATATTTTCTGATTAAGAAATATATATTTCATAAATTAAATTTGGCTTGCCACACCGTGGAAATAGACTATTTCAAATATCGAAGTGATGTTACTTTCGCTATGGTTAAATTTTGGTTTCTATAAAAAAGAAATATGAAATATGTAAATGCATAACTCGAAATGAGAGGTGCTTTTGAAGATGTTTTTAAAGATGATATTTTGTTCTTTAAATTTCATACGTTCTACCCCATGCTTACTTTTCAATCCTTAGTGTGTGTTGGTAAATTTTAAATAGGTGTTACGGTGTAAAATACAACTTTTCGGACTAATTATAAATTACTGTTTAAATTAACTTTTCGGACTTTGTGTAAATTGTTATAAAAAGTTTTCGTATATTTCGGCAAATGTGACAAATTCTATAAATTCCGCACAGCCTTAATCCTACCTGAGGCACAGTAAGAGATGGACAGTTAATCTCCTAACTGACTTCTATTTATATTTATTGACACTTAATCTTTCATCTACTTTTATTCTATTATATACATGCCGCTAAAATGTCACCATTCTCTCAGTTATTGTTTGATACTTGATTTCTTTATACTTTTTGTTAATCCTCTTATTTTACTCTTTCTTTGTTCAGTATGTATGTTTTGTTGTTAAAAATTATAGTCAGTTGGAATCAGACCTTCGGTGCTGATACATCCCAAACTCATGTAAAAGTATATTCCATGCTGATTCTATATAAAAGTACTAAAACTATAACGCGTGTTGGCTTATTGGAGGTTTTATGAATCTGGGTTCAACAATAAGAAGAAAACTCACCGGTTGGCCCAGAATTAGAATTTGACGGGCAAATTCCTACTGTAAAAAATGTCTTCTTTCAAAGGAGGATAATTGAGGGAAAGTAGCAAACATTGTAAAGTTATTAAAAAACATTAATCTTCCATTTAGGAACACCTGAAAAGGAATGATTAGATTTAAAAAAAAAATGTATTTAGTCAAAAGTTAAACCACACCAATGAGTCTAGGATATGGCACTTGTAGCTGAACAATGCACAAAAGATTTACAGGAACTTATCGAATCATTTTTGAAGAACATATTTTTTAAGAACTGGACTAAATTTTTGTCTAAGTAATTTATAAGCATCCTCTTATACTGGTATTGAATTAAAACTTTAAATTATTTTTTTTCCGAATCATTTTCTTTAAAGATGTCCGCTCCTCAGCCAGAAAAAAATAACATGAATATGAAGTGTGTGATCAATATGATTCTAGGTTCTTAGAATCGGTCTCTTGTAAAAAGTAGGTATTTGCACCCCAAACAAGCACAACCCCCTCCCCTACATTTTTTGAGAAATCAAATTTTATTTAATCTTTAGATACCAATACTTATTATTGCATGAAATGAAATTGGAAGTGATCTGTGGTATCTTGCAATGATATCACATACTTTTTCCACTATGTATTATATAACAATTGAAGTCAATAGGACTAAAATACTGCATAAGTATGAAAAACATGCAATTTTTCCGATTGCCTAGATATTTCTGGGTCTTTATCCTAAAATACATCCTTTTATCAACGTTTGGTTAGTAAATGGATAACTGGTGTTTTTCTTCACGTTTCCTGATAATATATTTGAGATTTGATCATTTTACCTATATAATTATAAAGATGAACTGTATTGATGAACTTTGGGGGGGGGGGGGGAAATGAGTAAAAACACATTACTTGGTGAAATGATTTAAATTTTTGTAAGCATTTTCATTAGACTTAACTTTTGATTTTCAAAATCTGGGGAACGGCAAAGGGCCAGTATGTAGCGATCCCAAGATAGGGAAATTTGTTTTAAAAATATTATCCCTTAGTATAGCAAGCAAAAAAAAATCAACTGACAGAAAAGATTCTTTGTCTGTGTCCCTTGTTAAATTTTAAATATTCCAGTCACTCCTCGATTTTCTAGGATAAAAATTTTCTCTACATTAATGCGTAGATTGTAAGACAATGGTGGCTAATAAACCAATGTATCCTATCAGCAAAGTCAAGAGATTATCAAGTTTATTCTTTTCTGTATTTTAACACTACTAAATAAATATTTTGGCATTTTTATGATGTCAATTACTCTCAATATAATCCAAACTAAACAGTTCTAATTATTAACTTTTCATGTAATAAAATTAAAACCATTCCATCCCAGGAAACCAAATATATTTGATAACATGTTGGCTATCATGGAGAAGTATGCAAACAACCTCGAAGCTCTGGTTGCAGAGAGAACTGAGCAGCTGTCGGAAGAAAAACAGATGACGGAGAATCTTCTTTTCCGAATGTTACCAAGGTGAGAATCACGTGACAGAAAAAAGAGGCTACCATGTATTATCCAAGTCATGGTCGAGATTTTTATAATTGATCGCTACATCCATGTCTGTCATCCGTGATCGTCTACTTTTAAAGAAAAAAATATTCATTAGAAATGTCATTTTCGCCACAATGATTGATGAAGGTTAAAATATATGTTACTGTGACATAAAGTGTGTTAACATAACGAAGTCTTTTATTTCCTGATTGATTACATATACTTCTACAAAATTGAACCGCACAAAGAAAGAATATCTAATATTGTTAATTATTCACATTGATATCTATTAAATAAAGATTAGTGTATTCTAACACTAATGAAATTCATTTCTTACCTTGGATTTTAGGCCAATAGCTAATAAGCTGAAGAGGGGTCATTACGTAAATCCTGAGAGCTACGACTGTGTAACCATGTATTTCAGTGATATTGTGGGGTTCACCGCCCTGTCCGCAGAGAGCACACCCATGCAGGCTAGTATCTAGTTCCTGTTTCGGTATTTGTACAGCTAAAGTGTTCCAAGGAACACATGTGTCACCTGCTTTGTAGCTTCATTAAAGATGTAAATAAACCTAATTAGCTATTTATTTACTTCTAATATTAATATGATAGTTCATGCAGAAAAAAAGCATGCACGCATAGTATAAGACTGCAATAGAATCTGACAATCAAAGAAAATATGATTCCCAACCCTCACATGAATAATTAAATTGAAATTATTATAAATAATTATCTATCATTTTACATGTATAATACGTGTTTCAAAGTCTTTACTCCAATTGTCAGTCTAGACAATCTATTGTGGGATACTGATCCCGATGTATTTTCATAGTATTTAAATATCAGTTTGTGTGAATATCATACAGTTTCAAAGTACAGTATAATGAGCTCATAAACATGTATAAATGCTAATTATCAACAGCCCGCCTCTCAAAATTCAAAAGACTTAAGTTAAACTGTCCAAGGTATTTTTTGCAAAGTAGGTCAAAGGTCAAGGTCAAGTGAATTGCAACGCGGGTATTTTCCATAATGTTTTATGACAATCAGTGCACATGCTAAATAGCACTGACTTACCTCTTAAATGTCAAAAATATGCTGTATATTGGCACTATTAACTTTTTTGTAAAGTGGGTCAAAGGTCAAGGGTCATGAGGTCGGTAACACGGTAATTCACAAAAGCCATAGTGCCATGCAATATATGTGCAAATTTCAGTCCACATCTCTTACACTTCTTGAGATACAAGGTGTGACAGACGGACAGCTAGACAGACAGACGGACAGACAGACAAACGCCGGGTAAAGTGATCCCTAAGTGCCGCTCTGCTCTGCAGGCGACACAGTAATGGTGTCAATGGGTACAGTACGCACATCCACTGGCCCTTTATATTTTCAAAAATTCAAGTTGATCATATCAGGTCGAGTACAAGATAACGATGAATCGCAGTGTTGCATTACCGAAAATCGACAATAGATTACCGAAATTTTTCTTATCTGTACCGAAAATGCTTATGTTCCATTACCAATTTTTTTAAAAGTGGAAATAAAGTGCTGGAGTGGCATATCTCCATAAACATATAGTCACTGTACTTCTGGATGCAGTGGCGAAATTTTCTACCTCAACTTCTTAGTCTATTGTTCATATCTTGATTGTCCATATAAACAGGAAGATATTTGCCCAATGGGTGGATTGTTAAGACCTGAGGATTGAACTTCGAGCGAAAGTCCTTATTATCCCCTCGCAACGAAGTTGGAGGGAATATAGTAACACGCTTATGTGTATTTGTGGGTGTTGAGTACGTGCATGCGAAAGGGAAGTTACACAAGTAATTTATATCGGAATCGGTGTGCTCTTTTGCGAGGGGATGCTCCGCTTTGCGGTGCCCTTCTTCAATAGGATTTAAATATTCGGCAATGATATCTACCATTCTTTTGGGAATAGAAGAAAATAATTTTTGGTAATTATGACCGACCAGTTTTTGAACATTTTCGGTTATGTAATGCAGCCAAAAGAATTTCTAAAAATCCATGAAAATCCACGTTGATTTAAACAGAATGAGTAGAACTCGTTACGGTTTTGCATGTAAAGTGTAGGAAATGTAGTGGGCGAATAAGAATTGTTAATCTGAACACTTAGATTACTAACAATTGTATTTTAACGATAAAAGAAATTAGGTGATACAATCAAGTTGAAAAAGAACAGCATACAAGTGCAAAACTGCGGGCACCTTTATCGTGATATTTAACAATAGATTTTGAGTACACTTTTCAATGTAATTGTCTTTCGATTTACGATTAACGTCATGCACTGTTCAAACTTTAATTAAAAAAACCCAGCTGATTGTAGGTGTTTTAAATAGGCCTTTCAAATGACGTCAGTAATTAGCTTTTGCTTTGCAAATATCATCTAATACTGTAAATGGTTTACTTTTTCATACTTACAGGTTATTGACATGCTGAATGAATTGTACACTTGTTTTGATTCAATCATTGCCCATTATGACGTATACAAAGTGGAGACAATCGGTGATGCCTACCTAGTTGTCAGTGGGCTTCCGATACGCAATGGCGATAACCACGCGGGAGAGATTGCATCAATGTCACTCAAACTCTTGTCTGCTATACTCTCCTTTAAAATAAAACACAGGCCTGATGATACATTAAAATTACGTATTGGTATACATTCAGGTATATAAAAAAATAATTTAATTTATTACTTCATTTTTAGCTCTACTGGTCAGAGACCAGAAGAGCTTATGCGATAGTAAGGTGTCCAGCGTTCCGTCTGTATGTCTGTCTAGCTGTCCGTCTGTCTGTAAACAATTTTTCAGAACGCTACTCCTACAGTTTTAGTCTGATTTCAGTATAACTTGGCACACAAGTAGACTACACTAAGATACATAATTAAGTGCATCGGTTTTTGATTTTGATGAATGGTGTTGCCATGGTTACTAAAAATAGAAATTTCTGTGAAATTCCTTTAAATTGCTACTCCTCCTACAGTTTTCATTTGATTTCAATATAACTTGGCACACAAATAGATTACACTAAGATACATAATTTAGTGCATCGGTTTTTGATTTTGATGAACGGTGTTGCCATGATTACTAAAAATAGAAATTTCTGTGAAATTCCTTTAAAACGCTACTCCTCTTACAGTTTTAATCTGATTTCAGTATAACTTGGCATACAATTAGACTACTCTTAAGATACATAATCTAGTGCATCGGTTTTTGATTTTGATTAACGGTGTTGCCATGATTACTAAAAACAGAAATTTCTGTGAAATTCTTTTAAAAAGCGACTCCTCCTACAGTTTTAATTTGATTTCAATATAACTTGGCACACAAGTAGACTACACTAAGATACATAATTTAGTGCATCGGTTTTTGATTTTGACGAACGGTGTTGCCATGGTTACTAAAAATAGAAATTTCTGTGAAATTCCTTTAAACGCTACTCCTCCTATAGTTTTGGTCTGAGTACTTGGCATACAAGTAGACTACACTGAGATACATAGTTCTGTTTTTTGGTTTTTTTTTATTTTGGTGAAGTGTTGCCATGGTTACTAAAAATACAAATTTCTGTGAAATACATACAAAATGCTACTCCTTCTATAGTTTTGCTTTAATTTCAATGTAACTTGGCATGCAAATAGACTACACTGAGATACACAATTGTCTTTATAAGTTTTTTTTGATTTTGATGAATGATGTTGCCATGGTTACTAAAATCAAAATTTCTGTTAAAATCTTTTAAAAGGTTACTCTTCCAACAGTTTTAGTCTGATTGCAATAAATCTTGCCACAAAAAGAGACTAAACCAAGGATCATTACTCTATTTATTGCTGTTGCAAAGTTTCAAGTCCAAGTGCTACTTTTCTTTTCCATTGTAATAAGTACAAACCAGTAGAGCTACAGTCTCGTCAGAGACTTCTGGTTTTGATTTTACATTAAAAATATGTTTGTTGGCTCATTTTGTATTAGTAACATTTCTCAAATAGGGGCATTTTTTAAAATCTCTTTGTTTTCAAGTTTTTGGAGTTTTCCATTAGAGGTCTTCTTGCAAATTTGATTGAAGTGTAGAAGAATTTGAAAATTTAATTTTGTTAAAAGAAAAATATGATTATATGATTCTAGGTCCAGTAGTAGCAGGTGTTGTTGGACTGCGCATGCCCCGTTATACATTATTTGGAGACACAGTTAACACTGCATCTCGTATGGAAACCAATGGACTACGTAAGTAATATATAAACTCACTGTAGCCGAAAGACCATGTTAGCTTCGAAATTAAAACTTGCTTTTGTGTTTCAGGTTGTTTACATCTGTGGTTTGTTCTTTAAACTCACTTGTAAAGGAGATGGGAAAAAACACCAGCTTGATATATATATATATATATATATATATATATATATATATATATATATATATATATATATATATATATATATATATATATATATATATATATATATGGAGTACGTCTGTGGATTTTTAACTAAACTCCCCAATCAGTCACTTGGCGAATTCACTTAATGTGTCATTCAGTGAATCATATTATTCTTTTTTTCCTTCCTGATCGACCTCGTATTTGCTTATACACACAGAGAACTAATCAGAAGTTATGGTGGGGGAACTTAAGAAATGCACCTTTGTTACAAATGCGGCTTATAACTAGGGTTTGTCTTATTCTTTTAACCTAAAAGAACATTAAAGACAGGCTAGGTAGCTCTAGCAAAAAAATTACTATATTTATAAAGCTACATGTATTATAGTTTGCTATAGTACATACATGTACTTTGAAACTTTGAGTTGTAAGGAAATTTTAGAAATTTTTGTGAGAATTAGAGTATTGATTTCTCAAATTCCACATCAGCGATGGTAATTTTGGAAATAATATTTGAATATGCAAATTATCACTCTTTTTAATATCAAGAAATCTTTTTAGAAAATTGAGATGAACAAAATTTGATAATTTGAATTCCGTAGTAAATATACTTGATTTGCCATAGTTAATTGATTTCTTACAGTGAACAAAAGTCAACTATAGTATTTTTAGTTAGACAGGAATTGATATTGATTATTCTTGTCCAAGACCTTGATATTGATTATTGATTATTCTTGTCCAAGACATATTCTGTCATTTGAATTTGAAGGAACATCCGTAACCAAACGTTTGAGCAAAGATTTTTTTCTAATGAAATGTATTAAGGACATTTGTCAACATGACTGAAATGTTAATGAATAAGATTCTGCCGGTTATGGCTGTGTCATTCATGACCTGTAGAAACTCATACACTGCCCAAAGAACACTCCTTATGTAAAGAGTGTGTCTCACAAGAAACAAAGTTTTTGAAAACTATACAAAATTAAGGACTGTAATTCATCAGACTGCCAGGTAATACAAACGCCTTTTTGTTGTATAGATTTAAAGTTGAAATCTTTGTTGTTACTCCAACCGAATTTTGGAATTCATTTTTGAATTATTTTTCTTTAGAAATAACTTGACTGGGGTTAGGTGTGTAGCAAATAGACCTTCTGTTTTTCTCGTAGGAGCTATCAGTATTTATATATTCTATTTTTAAAAGTTTAAAGTTTCGGCCCTTAATTGGCCCCCGGGATGAAAAGGAAAATTCTGAAATCTTCTTGTACATCTACAGGAAAACTATTACAAAAGATGATGTGATTTTACAAAAATGAAAGAGGAGCTCCTGGAATATGGTTTTTATTGACTAGTAATTGGCCAATGCAGGATAAAAATGAAAATTCCGAAACTTTATTACATATCTTCACGACACCAGCAATCATATTTCATCAGATTTGCATGTTGCTTAAAATTCATAAGGGGTTCAAGTAAGAAGACCTAGTGACAGAAGGATTGACGAGGGTAACATTTGCCTGAACCTCTTAAGAAAGTGCGGGGATGAATTTTTGAATGACTTTTTGGCTTCTTTGCTAGTTACGAAGTAGAGTACATTTAGAGGCAAACACTTAATGTGGGTATTACTCTGTTATGACAGCCTCATCAGATATCATTATGAGTTTCCAAATATCTTACTGAATCTTGTTAAAACCGAATTTACACAGCTCTAACATGACATTTAGCTCTAATGCTTATATTTGATTCATCTACAAAATGCTTATGTATAGAAAATTAGAAACACATTGTATGTCTAAATTGTCACTTGTAAAAGCAGTGTATGTATATTTTTTGGTTTATACTGCTTTCAATAATATAATGGCTGTTCTTAGAATAAATTTTAGTTGGTGTTCGCGGAAAATATCACCTATATGTGTGTGTATATTACAAAAATCTCCTGATGAAGCAATGGTTTGAAAGTGGAAGTTGACTAAATGAACCAAGAGAAACTAGATTATTTAAATGAAATAGGCGATGAATTCCATTAATATTAATCAAAATGCACATCTGTGATAGACGAAAGAAAAAAGCCAAAGTAATGCGGTTTAAAAATATAATTTCATTCAGAGAAATAATGAATTCAGAAAAACAATCCTTTTTAGGAAAACTGTGTACATTTATTAAAAATATTACTAAAACGTGCTCCCCGACCTAGTGAATAAATATATCTATAATTGTACTATTTGTCTAGTCCTGGTACTCATGCATATCATATAAAACATGTTTTTATGCCCCTGTTATCGAAAATTCGGGGGCATATAGTTTTTGCCCTGTCTGTCTGTTTAGCTGTTTGTCCGCAAAAACTTTAACCTTGGCCATAACGTTTGATTATTTGGAGCTATGGCTTTCATATTTCACATGTGTTATCCTTGTGACAAGACCTTTCTTTAGGTACCAACATATTTGACCTCTTGACATTGGAGTTTGACCCACTTTTGCGAAGTTTTACCACACTTTAACCTTGGCCATAACATTTAAATTGTTGATGCTAGGGCTTTCATACTTCACATGTGCTTTCCTTGTGACAAGATCTTTCCTTGTGTACAAATATTTTTGACCTCTTGACCTTGGAGTTTGACCCACTTTACCAAAACTTTAAACTTGGCCATAACTTATGAACGGTTGATACTAGGGCTTTCATATTTCACATGTGTATTCACTGTGATAAGACCTTCCGTAGGGTGCCAACAATTTGACCTTGACCTTCTTTGAAAATCTTTAACCTTGGTCATATCTTTTGAACGGTTGATGCTTTCATATTTTAATGTTTATTCCTTGTGACAATACCTTCCCTTGGGTACCAACAATTATGTCCTTTTGACCTTGACCTTAACGTTTGACTTACTTTTGAAAAACTTTAATCTTGGCAATAACTTTTGAACAGTTGGTTCTAGGGCTTTCATATTTCACTCGTGTCTTCCTTGTGACAAGACCTTCCCTTGGGTACCAACAGTGTTGTTTTGTTTACCTTGACCTAAGTCCATGGGGGAGTTTAACTTACATTTGAGAAAGTTTAACCTTAGCAATGAGCTTCCATACGGGGACATCAGTGTTTTACAAACGCGTCTTGTTTTTCCGTTGTTTTTTTTTTTTTTTAAATTTGTCACCATTGTTTTTGTATATCTCTGTATACAATTGTAAAATTGTGAAGAGATAAATAACTTCAGTTCAGTTTTAAAGCAAGAAAGGGGTATCGGGTCGGTGTATAAAAAATGATAGTACAATTGCGTAGTTTTTCTTTCTGATGATGATTGTCGAATGAGCTATAATTGCGGTTGATTTTGTGTTCACTAACATTAACAATGCACTGACGGTGAACTTAAATTGATGGACGTTTATTTAGGGTCATTTATTTAAGGATTCTGACGTAAGAAATGTCAACGAATGCATTCCTTATTCCCTATCAATTAATGATTGGTTTAATTTCATTACTGGAATTTTAGAATATTTTAGACTGGAAAGAAATGGAAATGCAATTGACACATGATTTATTATAAATTCTGATTATCTTATTCGATATTACAACGAAGTATAAAAAATCGCAAAAGTACACACATATCCTTAAATAATATGCAATATTTCACACGCAAATATTAAAGAAACTATGTTGTGTATGTTAACTATAATAAAAATGTAGAATTTCTTTATGAAACCTCTTAAATTCCTTTCAATGCTTTATCTTTTCTATTCCCTTTATGTTTATTAGTCCCCTACCGGTGAAACCGGAGGGGACTATAGGTTTCCTCAGAGTCTGTCCGTCCGTCTGTCTGTCTGTCTGTCCCTCTGCCTGTTTGTCAGTCTGTCCCACTTAGTTTTCCGCACTTTTTTTCTAAATGCTTGCAGATATTGAGCTGATTTTTGGTATGTAAGTGTATCTTGATGAGTTACAGATCAAGTTAGCATTTCGTTCCGCTTCAATGATTTTTGACGGAATTACGACCTTTTCAATTTTTCAGTGTTCTCCGCAATTTTTCTCTAAACGCTTGCAGATATTGAGCTGATTTTTGGCATGTGACTTTACCTTGATGAATTATAGACCAAGTTCGCATTTCATCCGGTTTGATTGATTTTTGACGGAATTATGACATTTTCAATTTTTAGCGGAAACCAGATTACACTTGCCGGTAGGGGACTAGTATTGCTAATGCAATTGTTCCTTATTGTATGTTGTCCACTTATAGGCAAGTCGTTAAATCATGCATCGCTCAGAAAACCTTAAAATTGTTAATGGAGGAGAACTTATAAATCAGACAATAGTACAATCATGTTAACGTTTCTGTAGCGGTTATATTTATGTGACCATAACCTCTTTTAACTTTCTCTAATCTTGTTCAATGAACGCTGAATTTGAATATCAAGTCTCTACAATGGTTGTAACTATTTCTGAAAATATTTCACTATTGTAAGGGCAAATTATTTTACCTGTCCTTGATGTTGAAAATGCTGTAATTACTCATAATAATATTCAGATATGTAATAAAAATCAGAAAAGTGAATATCCTCATTATTTTTAGCTCACCTGAGCCGAAGGCTCAAGTGAGCTTTTCTGATCAAAATTTGTCCGTTGTCTGTCGTCGTCGGCGTTGTTGTCGTTGTAAACTTTTCACAATTTCATCTTCTTCTCCAGAACTACTGGGCCAATTTCAACCAAACTTGGCACAGAGTATCCTTGGGTGAAGGGGATTCAACTTTGTTCAAATAAGGGCCACGCCTTCTTCCAAGGGGAGATAATCATGAATTCATGAAAAATTAATGGCATCATTTAAAAATCTTCTTCTCAAGAACCACTGTGCTTGAAAATATGAAACTTATATGGAAGCATCCTCAGGTAGTGTAGATTCAAGTTTGTTCAAATCATGACCCCCGGGGGTAGGGTGAGCCCACAATGAGCGATCAAAGTTTTACATAGGAATATATTGGAAAATTCTTTAAAAATCTTCTTCTCAAAAACAGCAAAGCCATGATTGGTCATATTTATATGGAAGCATCCTCAGGTAGTGTAGATTCAAGTTTGTTCAAATCATGACCCCCGGGGGTAGGGTGGGGCCACAATGGGCGGTCAAAGTTTTACATAGGGATATATAGGAAAATTCTTTAAAAATCTTCTTCTCAAGAACAGCAAAGCCATGAATGGTTATATTTATATGGAAGCATCCTCAGGTAGTGTAGATTCAAGTTTGTTCCAATCATGACCCCCGGGGGTAGGGTGGAGCCACAATGGGCGATCCAAGTTTTAAATAAGAATACATAGGAAAAATCTGTAAAAATCTTGTTCACAAGAACAACAAAGTCATGATTGGTCATATTTACATGGAAGCATCCTCAAGTAGTGCAGGTTCAAGTTTGTTCCAATCATGACCCCCGGGGGTAAGGTGTACATAGGAAAAATTTGTAAAAATCTTTTTCTCAAGAACAGCAAAGCCATGATTGGTTATATTTATATGGAAGCATCATCAGGTAGTGAAGATTCAAGTTTGTTCCAGTCATGACCCCGGGGGGGGGGGGGTAGGGGGGCCACAATGGGCGATCAAAGTTTTAAATAAGAATACATAGGGAAAATCTGTAAAAATCTTCTCAAGAACAACAAAGCCATGATTGGTAATATTTACATGGAAGCATCCTCAAGTAATGTAGGTTGAAATTTGTTCCAATCATGACCCCCGGGGTAAGGTGGGGCCACAATGGGCGATCAAAGTTTTACATAGGAATATATAGGAAAATTCTTTAAAAATCTTCTTCTCAAGAACAGCAAAGCCATGATTGGTTATATTTATATGGAAGCATCCTCCGGTAGTGAAGATTCAAGTTTGTTCCAATCATAACCCCGGGGGGTAGGGTGGGGCCACAATGGGCGATCAAAGTTTTAAATAAGAATACATAGTGAAAATCTGTAAAAATCTTCTCAAGAACAACAAAGCCATAATTGGTCATATTTATATGGAAGCATCCTCAAGTAATGTAGGTTGAAGTTTGTTCCAATCATGACCCCCGGGGGTAAGGTGAGGCCACAATGGGCGATCAGAGTTTTACGTAAAATACATACCAGGTAGGAAAAATTTGTTAAAATCTTCTTCTCAAGAACAGCAAAGCCATGATTGTTTTTTTTTTTATGGGTGCATCCTCAGGTAGTGTAGATTCAAGTTTGTTTAAATCATGACCCTCCAGGGGTAGGGTGGGACCACAATGGGCGATCAAAGTTTTACATAGGAATACATAGGAAAAAGCAAGCCTTTTAAAATCTTCTTCTGAAGAACAGCAAAGCCATGATAATTAGTCATATTTTACAGTTTTAAGTGTAAATTTTACAGATTAAAGTGTAGAAATTAAAAAATAAAAAGTGTCGAAGTGGCACTAATACGCTTCCGTAGGCACTAATACGCTTCCGTACATTCTTGATTGGTAGAAAATGCATGAAATAAAATTTCTTATTTATTTCATTGGTTGAAATTATGTTCAAGGCAAGGGAGATAATTTTCTAGTGATCTAAATACAATTTTTTTTTCTAGATGTCCAATCTTTAATAAATCGACTAAGCGAACGATAGAAAATTGCACTAAATGAAACTGACACTATTATTTATAGCAACTATTATAAAGTGTTTCTTTATTTTCATGGTTCACAGAATGCAAACATTAAAATTTTTGTTAATTTTTTTTCTTTTTTGCACAGTCTTTCACATATATATGGAAGGGCTAATGTCTAAAAATCTGTTGAAGAAATACAAAGTCACAAAACTACTCAAAAATGATACGAACTAATATATGAATTTCAGTTTACTGTTTAAGATTGTTGCTAAAGACGGTACCAAGTTTGTTTTTGAAAAAAGCTATACTTGTTGTCATACTGTTATCTCTAAGAAAGCATTTGGCTGTTTTAGGGGAATGTTATTCGCTCAGGCAGTGCTCTAAATTTAGACCACCTGAATTTATAATAGATACATGTATATATATTCTCTTCTTGTTGCAGCTTTGAAGATTCATTGTAGCAGTCAGTTTAAGGCCATTCTGGATAAGTTAGGAGGATACACTCTAACGGAAAGAGGATTCGTTAGCATGAAGGTAACAAAGAAACACAAATTAACCCTATATACATGTATCATTACGTTTTCTTGCAATGAAAATGCAGAAAAGGGGAAACACTCTAGTATGTCGTAAATTCAGTAATCATATTTAGACTAAAGAGACATTAAATTATAAATTATTACATACTTTTATTATTTTGCAGGGGAAAGGAGATCAGTTCACTTACTTTTTAGAATCTGAGGACGAATCTTATCGGACCAAACGATTAGAATCAATGGAAAGAGCCTCAAGCTTCTCTACGAAACCCACATTGAATATTGTTGGTTGTCGTAAATGCAGTGGACATGTGTGTGATTCCTACTCGCTTAACAATACCTACGAGAAATGTAGTGGGTATTCCGATTACTGTAGTGACTGTCTCAGGAACAGCATGCCAAAGTTTGTGTCTGAACAGAACGTCGAGTGCAATACTGGTTCTTATGAGGACGACTTTAGGCAGAATCTGGAAAACAATAATACTCGATCTCATTCCGACACCTGCGAATTTTGGCGGGAAAGTGAAGTGCAAATGCCATTGATGGACAGTAACGGTGGCTTGGGGTTTTATGGAACCGAAGTTTTATCAGATGAAAGTGTATTGTGATGCTTATGAATTTCTGGTTTCTTAAATAAAAAAAATCGTAATATATATTCACGAAAGATACGTACAATCTGTGATATTTAAGGTGTCCAAATGTTATAGAACTGCATTTCAATTACTATATTTATTCTAAAAACCAATCAAAATTCATAATAACGAATAGTGCTAGGATGATGTTGCTTGCAATGAAAATTTGTTTTTGATGAAGATTTAAGAAATGTGTTCGATTGTGTATTTTAATCATTTCATTTTCTACAGTGCAATTAGATATTTCTTTGAAATAACACTTGTAATGGCTGGGTTTACTATGTTTAAATTAAAAGTTATTAATGGTGATTTGAAAGGCGTTGGAATCTGATATCCCTTGGAGAATGTTATACATGTATTCTTTTCTATGTCAAAGTTGTTGAAAGTGGATGCATTGTTTATGTCTTCTTGTAATAAATGTTATATCTGTCAACCTTCTTAAGTTTTGTAATCGAATTGTCTCATACATTGCTTGCAAAAGCTGAACATTATCACTGTCATCGGCTCATACATTCACTTGTTGTGGCTGAGAGAGTAACGAATGGCAACTCTGCAGAGAAGATTGGAACATAACGTCAAAAAAGCTCAGAAAGCATATCGTTTTAAACACCACGAAATACTGATGAATTTTTTCATTGCAATTTCTATAGAAAATACAAAGTAAAGCATGCCTTAACATCGGTAGTGTTTAACAACTGTGATGATAAATGTTGATAAATCGAGGTAACCTTTGGTTACCGTTGACCTTTCCTGTTGTGTCCTTTTGTGACGTAGACTAAGCATTTTGAGGGAGTTCCCTCTATTGGATGGTAGGTAAGAGTTCCCTGATTTTTAATTTGCTTTCTTAAAAAGGAATTTAAATAGTAATTTGATAGGAAAAAGTATATTCATCAAAAGGAGAATACATTCAGGTTCATTGAAATATGGAGACCACTGTCAGAAAATCAAATTGAATTCTGTAATTCGTTATGCTCATGACTTATTGTAGTCTGAAGAGTGGTTGTCTGAAAATTACAGATTTATTTCTAAAGGTGTCAGTCATGCGTTCTCCTATAATACAATTGATTACCACATTTTCCGTCACTGCTTAATTATGTATGCGCGAAAATGTTTCAATGTTTTCTAATCAAAATAGTATAGATAAGACAGATACACAGTAAAGCAGACAATCATGACAGGACAAAAACTATTTAACGCAGTAACTGTCATCCTGGCCGGCCTGATTAGCATGACGAATGGGCAGTTTGGTACAAGACATTCATCACACCACGGAATGGACGGTAAGATAGAGAAAAAAATAACATAAATATAAATATCTCTCTTTCTATATGTTTTCTTTGTTTATGTCATAATATATGATACATGTATGTATATTTATGGTAAAATACAAAATGCATTTTTAAAACAAAACCAAAAAAAAAAAAAAAAAGAATAACAATAAAATAAAATAAAACAATAATAATAATTTAATAAAAAGATATAATTTTTCTTTTGTATTTTGATTTTAATGTATTTTTTAATCACGGCAGATACTAGTAATCATATACTTTTTCTTCGACAATTTACTCAAAGTCAAAATTTTGCTTCAAAGAGGTACCTTCGTATCCGTGTTTATAACATGTAACAGAGCAGGTATGGTTTATAGCATTTTCTCTGGAAGGTGACAATTTCTGGTTTACTCAGTAATACATCTATGCAAAATATTTTTGTTGATGTTCAACCGGAAGCAAAGCAGAAATACTGTTATATTGTTATCTAGTGACGGGTGCACTAAATGCAGATAAAAGTGTTACAGAACTGAATTATATTTAAATCTCTCTTTTGTACATTCAATAAAGTATATCATACATCTACATGTACATATACATTCTACTTTGATCATTGTGTTTGCATTATTCATTAGAATGCAGTCTATTTTGTTTCTACCTTGTTTGATTAAACTGTCAAATTATTACGAAACACCTGTGTAATGATCCATAAATTTATTTTTAATCTCATTATCATAACTTTTTCACGATTACAAATTAACATTTGGACTGAAAAGAAATATTTATGTAACTATTAATTAAATTATTAATTAATCATATAATGCTTCCTTATCTGAGTGCCATATCTTGTACTTGTTCTATTTAATTAGATCAAACAACCTAAGTAAGGTTATACTTTACTACATTCCTATCCGGACTGTTTTAAAATCAAGAACACACAGAATTAAGTGGTCAAATAATTCATTATGTCATGTTTACATTTTATAACTTCTTTCAAAATTATCATGATACCGCCATTGAAGCTTGTTAAAAATTCAAAAATTAATTTGATTCAAATATTTCCTGTTTAGGGGATGTCCGGTGTATATACTGTACGCCAGGAACTTGTGATAACGTGACGGGCACGTGTGGAAAGTGCTTAGATGGCTTCTTCGGGGAAAATTGTAAACAGACTTGTCCCAACACATGTTTGTCTTGTGACAAAACAGACGGCAAGTGCGAATTTTGTGTCAATGGCTGGTTTGGTGAGAAATGTGAGCAGGAATGTCAACAGTGTGATACATGTAATAAAGCCACTGGAGCTTGTACCTCCTGTTTGTCAAATAAATGGGGAGAAAAATGTCAAAATCTGTGTGAAGATGGCTGCCAGAGATGTGAGGTCCTGACGGGGAAATGCCAGGTTTGCGCAAGTGGGTTTTATGGCGAACGATGCAATCTTAAGTGCAATATATGCAGACAAGGCTTGTGCGATCGACAAAGTGGAAAATGCTTATATGGCTGCAATGACGGACGTCACGGGGAAAAATGTGAAAAGGAATGCTCTAAAAACTGTCGAGTATGTAACCAAGATGATGGATCATGTTTAATGTGTGATCCTCCACTTTGGGGAAATTACTGTGACACCAAATGCCCCACTAATTGTGATTATTGTGATATTACTACGGGAGATTGTCTAGAGTGTAACCCAGGTTTTTATGGTAAAAACTGCACGAATGACTGTAACAACTGTTTGGATGGATTTTGCGAGAAAGATACGGGATACTGCCAAGGTTCATGTCTTGATGGATGGTTTGGTGCCAAGTGTGACAAGAAATGTCTGAAGAATTGTCGACGCTGTGCTGCTGCAGAGAAATGTATGCTTTGTAATAAAGGATTAGCTGGTGAACAATGTGATATTAAGTGTCCAGCACGATGTCCAACGTGTGCAACCGATATTCTCACAGGCGATATTATGTGTATGGAATGTAACGGAGAGTTCAAAATACCAGAAAAGAACTGTTCTTGTACGAGTAAAAAATGCATAAAATTAAAAGAAAACAGTGTCGGGGGATTCACATGTGGAGAGTGTGCTAAAGGTTGGTATTTGAGAGGAGGAACATGCTGTCCATGTCATCGTTGTGCAGGAGGAAACCAATTTTGCGATGCAGGTGGCAATTGTAAGAATGGGTGCGAACCGAAATATTTCCCAGCAACTGAAGGTTGTGACCAGTATTGCGACATTCCTCACTGTACTTGGTGTGAATCGTTCTATGGACATGGCAAAATATGTAAGGGTTGTGACCCTGGGCACTTTCTAAAGAATGATGGATGCGAGCCCTGTAGTTCTTATTGTAAGGGTGGTTCATTGCGGTGTGATCAGAAAACAGGGGTTTGTCTTGATGGTTGTGAAACAGGAGGGTATGGCGACAGATGTGACTCTTTGTGCCCCGATAAGCACTGTCCTCTACCTGTTTGTGACATTCAAAATTGTGATGTTTGTGAAAAGTCCACAGACTCCGCCGCGCGATGCTTAAAATGCAAAACTGGATATCATGTTTGGAAGGACAATTGCAAGGCGTGCAGTCCTAACTGTTTAGGAGACGTTTGTGACGAAGTTACTGGTACATGTACTAAAGGATGCAAGCCCGGTTGGAAAAAGGGATTATGTAATGTAAAGAGTAAGAAGAAAATAAACCCAAGAGTCAAGATTTGTAGAGGAAATTGCTTTACCTGCGATGCTATGACTGGTGAATGTGCAACTTGTGCAGCAGGGTCTTGGGGATCACGATGCAACAAAATATGCCCTGAAAATTGCAGAACTTGTGACATAAAGACTGGCAAGTGTGTTGTCTTATGTAGCAGATATTGCAAGCAAACAGGCAATGAGTTGTCTCCTTGTGATAGCTTTACCGGCGAGTGCTTGAACGGCTGTGTGGATGGCTGGGTAGGAAAAAGATGTCGCTACAGGTGTGCTGGAAATGGAAAGTGCATAATTACAAGGAAGCCCTTGCTGGAAACAATTTATTTTAAATAATGACAAAATGCTATCTTCCCATATAAGTACAATCATTTATATGACTTACTTATTTTGTCTTAATTTTATCAATGTGTTGAACGTACTTCGCAGCGCTGAGCCGACCGATTGTTATCCATCACCATCAGGTGTTGTGCAATTGGTTTCATGCATCATCTCTATAAAAATGAAAATAATCTCATTAATCGAATTTTTTTAAACCTGTATTCATTTTGGTTAATAGCATTTCTGGGTAGATTTGTGCAAAAATTTGAAATTCATTATCCCCACAGCCCTGGACCCTGGGGTATTGGTCTCCAAAATGAAAATAACAATTTTGAATTATCATGTTCTTAGTTTCTAGATGTTTTGCACACAAAATGGCAATCTGATTAAACTGAAATGGAATTAATGATCCTTGCCTACAATACTCTCCTTTCATTGAGGTATGGTTGAAAAGGCAAGATTTAGTTGCAGAGTTTCTCTTTTATGTAAAAAAGAGATTTGTGTTTAACGTAAGGGTGGCTAAAAATCAACTTTATGGTGACTACTGTTTTATCTTAAAAGTGGCTCAATGGAGTGCAAAAAATGTACGTGTGTGTAAAGAGCAAGTTACTCCAGTATATTTCAGTGACCGGTTATACTTTTGTATATGTATATAAATATTTTTGATACTTTTTTCCTGTAATGATCTAAACAGTGAGCTAAGTTTAATTCACTACATTAATAAAGATTTTATATCAACAGTATTTTTTGTGAGGTTACATAGCAGGGATGGCTTACACAGAGACTTCAATTATCTTAAAGACAATGAAAGTCAATAGTGATCGAAACGTGACCTATCTAACAGACAAAACACACTCTGTAAGTTATTTGACTTTAACATGTACACGTATATTCACACCTGTGCATTTATCTTGTCAAATTTCTAGCCCAAAAGCAAATTGTCTAAAAGTTGAAATCAAAGAAAAACAAATACATGTATTTACTTAAGAACCCTCTATACACCAAAGAAAAATGGTTTATATGCTCTGAGAAAATTATATCATATAATAAAGATATAAATATGGAGTTTATTTATTTATTTTTCAACATAGGGTACCTGGCATTTATCCCCAGAAAAAAATATTCAAAGACAATGAAGTGTTGGTGAACTGAAATCACTGTTGCTTACTTAAATGGCAAAAATGCATGCAAATTAAGCATTCAATTAATTCATCTAAGCCAAATGGAATGTTTATAATGTTTGAATTGATTGCAAATTGAATAATAAATTTAGATTTTAATTTTTTTCAATTTATATCTAAGGGCAGATCACTCTAACTGCATAAAAATACCATGGAATTAGAATTCTTTAGTATGCAGTGTATAGATGGTTCTTAAACAAATGAAAACACGTGAGCACTGAGCTCACAAAATTATACCCCTGCTCTCATATGAGTATAATAGCTAAGTTCATTTTTGTAAATTAATAAAAATGAAAACAACATCGATCACTATACTATTTTTCCCCAAGAGGACAGTTCGAATTTTCTTTATGTTGATGCCTTCATATAAATTCTATCAACATGGAATTCCAGTTTTTACAAGGATGGAAGAGGTTTTACTCGTGAATGTACATTGCTGATATGTGTTTTTTTCCCTGTATTTTTTCTTTAACAAGAAATCTTTTCATGGATTTATTCTTGTGAAAATGTGAGCCTTTAGGCAAGGTTTTTGAGTTGAGAAGATTTTGTTGTAATTAGCTATTAATATTGTTTCGGACAATGGAGATCATTTAAAAATGAACCTTTTAATGAAGTTCCCTGTCTTGTTACTATTTCTATGTTTATAACCTTAAAGAAACATGGCCCTTAATTAAAACAAAATTGAAATTTCTTAGCCCGAAAGTGTTCTGTGTCTGTTTAATTTACGTATCTAAAGCGGATTTAGCCTTACTGTAGAGTTTTTTATTAAAAAAAAAAACAAAACTTTATTTTGTTTCAACTATAGAGGTATCATTTGACTCTTTACTTTAATATTTTTCTATTTTGTTAAAATACTAAAAGGGGTGTCTAAAAGGTAAAAAATTCTACAAATAAATATATGTGTACAGATGTCTGACAAGTGATTGCATAAATATGCCTCTCATGTTTACACAAAGTACCTATATAAAGACGCTTCGGATCTTACAACGAAGAAGGTGAAGAAAACGAATAGTGATCTATCTCATAATCAAGTAAACAAAACGAATCGTAAACTGGGTAAAGTCACACGGACCCCTGAAAACACCAGAGCTCGAGGTAGGATCAAGTGCCTAGGAGGAGTAAGCATCCTCTGTCGACCGGTAACACACACCTTGAGCTCTGTTTATTGATCAGGTAATTAAGGATAGAAACAAAGGCCTAACATGTCAGTAAAAATACGACCAAATGCAAGGTAATATTTGCTAACAATGTCATCACAGCGACCATAAAATTTACAAAATGATAACTTAAAACGAAGTTGTTGAAATTCCTGTAACATCAACATATCTGTCAGTAGCCTGCCTTGGTTAAAAAATAAATGATCTTACTCAGATCTCTTGAATTTTAAATAAGATGGGAGACATGAACATCACATGCAGATGATAACGGAATATTCTACATAAATAAGGAAAGTTGAGGATGGAAAAGCTGAAATCATCTTGTTTGTTATACAACTAAGGGGCTGATCCAGCAACTTTTGAAAGAAGCAGGGTGGTGCCCCTCCACACATTCAAACATAGATTCACACAACACACAGGGAGAGAAAAATCATCTTACGCCGTGGTAGATAATATCTTTGTTTTATATCCCTTAATTCTTTGAAAAGGTACCCTCCAGTCCAAATAAAAAACAAACACCTTCCAAAAAACTACTGTAGCCTTAAACTGAATGGATATTTCCATAAAAATAAAGAGAATACTTGTTGAGAAGTTGTATTTGTTTTTTAAATGGATTTTCCCGTAAACCTACCTTCTTTCCTTTCCAACATAACTCTTTACTTATGTAAATTTTAATACTGAAAGGCCGATCCCCCCACTTTTAATTTTTTGCAGTATATTCAAGTATAGTCGGCCCATAGTAAAGTCTCCGTAAAAGTTTGTGGAATAGAAATATTTTTTTTCTGCCCCCTCCCCCTTTCAAAAACGATACTACGTACCTGCAAAAGATGATCCGTAAATCGTATATATAGCAAAGATCGCAGGAATCTGATATCAAATTTAACCTTGCAAGTTACTTATCATATATTGAAATAAGTAGAATATTTTCTAGCATTTAGGAATAGCGAAGGTATGTGGAAGAAAGGAAATATGTGAGACTCTATTTATAGCAAGTGGAATATAGGCAGAGATTATGTGAGACTCTATTTATAGCAAGTGGAATATAGGCAGAGATTATGTGAGACTCTATTTATAGCAAGTGGAATATAGGCAGAGATTATGTGAGACTCTATTTATAGCAAGTGGAATATAGGCAGAGATTATGTGAGACTCTATTTATAGCAAGTGGAATATAGGCAGAGATTGAGACTGATCAAGCTGTTTTAAACTACGTTTAATTTATATTTAAAACGTATTAGAGGTAAAAATCTATTCCAGAAAACGTCTTATCCTTCCTCTCTCTATCATTCACTCACAAATAAAAAAAAAACGCTTAAAAGGAGGGATGGTGGAGGTAAATTGAGGAAAGGAAATATGAGAGACTATCTATAGGAAGTGGAATAAGAGATTAATATTGCGGTCGAGCTCTTCTGAACTATTTGAAATTGAAGGATTAAAGGTCAAATGTGCATAAATAATGTTATATATAAATATTAACAAAAATGCCTAGTAAGATATTCTTGCGATATCAACTGTTTAGTCCTCGATCTGAAAGCTTGCTTTACATGGTGATGATCGTATAACACAGACAGATGGAATAAAAAAAACTTAATGTTTTTAAATATGTAAAATAATTACATTTTCTTTATTTCAACAAAGTGTATGTACTTGAATAAGTTATCAGAAAATGGAATTCAGGAAATAGTCATTAGTTAACATTTCCTTCTTCGTTCCCATGTAAATGGAGCATTTTACAAAGTAATGAATATGTCAACATTTATCTTTTACAATGCTAATCGAAAAAAAAGCCTGCAAAAAATCCATTTTATCAGTTACTTCTAATTATGTCTTTGTAATTAAAAATCTTGTTCAAATAAATTATAACACCATCTACATAAGGTTCATCAAAGTAAGGCTGCAGCGATACGTAAGTTTATTAACGTGTGCACAGACATTACCAAATCATGCCACAGGTATGCAAATTTCAAGTCTTTACCTTTGACGGCAAAACTTAACGATGATTTATCTTCTCATTGCGAAGGCGAGATTTCAACCTAAAGAAGAACTTCAGAGCTAATTAAACATATGTTTATTTGTTACAAAAAACCTTATTTTCATCGAAAATGTGAGGGATATAAACAAAAGAAAGACATTAGAAAAAATGTGAGGTTTTGAATTGGATTATCCAGAATGACCGAAACTTAAGATCTGACATCGGAATTAATTATTTATGCAAGCGGTGTTTCTTCTTGATTCAATTGAGAGACAATTAATACGCATCAGTAATTATTTTTTCGATTTAGAAGTGAAAAAAAAAATTAAGACGACAATGATGGTGCGTGTCCACTTTTTGGCACTGGTGGCTTTTGGTATCAATTTGTGTTTTCCTGTAAGTGAAGGATTTTCTATAAAAGACAGAAGTGGGAACTTCAGTAAGTAAACTTTTGAAATACATTGTACAAGAACCAGCATATATTCTTATATAATATTATGATACATTAATTATATATACCCTTCCATTCAAAACTTTTACACACAAAAGCGGAACAAATAAATAGAGGCGTTCTTGATGAAAGTTATGAGTAATTTTGATAAATAAAAAGGCGACTAATTCATAGCAAACAATAAAACTTAGTAGTATGACAATCGACTGAAATATTTATAAATCACGAAGGATAACTCGGCACGTGTTTTGTAAAAGAGCTAGGTTCACTTTATGCATAAAATGGCCCTGTAGATAAACCAATTTATCCACTAACACACTATGTCCCTTTCTCAACATCAATATAAAGTAGAGACTTGGCGCTTTCAGTTTGTATATAAAAGTTTCCTCTAAAGAGTCCAGGTACTCGAAAACAGGTTGTGTGAAATTGCGATGTTCTTGAATTTTGCAGAAAAAAGGTGAATTTCAGAACCTTCAACAAAGAATTAAAATATGAGCACACCCCTCGATCCAAAAATTAAAATGTATTTTATAATCTTAATAAGCAGTTCTTTCGTAATATATTTGCACATTTTGGATCGGAGGTTGTGCTGTATACGAAATATTGAAAAATAGCATCATATTTTGGCCATTTTTGAAGAAATATTCGGGATATGTGAATAATGACACAATTCATGACGTCATAATGCATTGACTATCAAGAAAATGACGTCATTTTTAGTAGAAATTCAGTCACCAAGTGTTCAAGTGATATTTTGCCTTGTCGACTAAAACTATGCAGTTTTAATTTTTCAGAAACTTACAGGGCCAAAAAAGGCCCTAAGTGGCCCTTGCTCTTTATACTACAGCGTCAGAAGGTGTTTTTATTACAACTGTATTTTGGAATAGTTGCTATATTTTAAAATTTTATTTTACCTTTTCTACCAATGTTAACAATCATTTTTTAAAAAAAATCTTATCACTGTTTGAAAGTAGAAAGTAGAACTTTGGGTACATGACTACATGTACATGTATACGTGTTATGATCTAGTTCCCTTAGGGGTATTAAAGCCACTGTATGTAATTATAGCATTTTTTAACGAAAATTCACATTCTACAATGGCTGAAGTAGGCGTGTCATCGAATTAAATTAATATGTCTCAATGACATGATCTACGTTGATTTTTTTCATTTACACAACCCTTGTATGTGGTTTTTGACATTAGTTTAATTGTGATTAATTGAAAACTATTCATTATGTTTCATAAATAAAATGATAATCGTGTACCTGTAACACCCATTCACAAAGGAAGATCTAAGACAGTCATCTGAAAATAAATAATTTAATGCCAGGTAAAATCCTGACCAATTGTGAATCATGCATCCTGTCAACACTGATTTAAGGTTAATGAGAACAGTATGTGAGCCATACACAGTGACTTAATTACATGTAATTCCTATGACAACAAAACTTTCATTAGAGTTTTTCGCACTTCTCTTCTTATCACACATCGTCTATATAGTAAATTTCAATTTTTAACTTTACAGAGAGTTGAATATTTATTATAGACGAAATGGTACATTCAAGAAGAGTACATGTTTCTGTAACTCGCATGTACTTTGATCAACTCACTTTAACAAGTGACAGTAGATCATGTAATTTTTAAAACTTTTTTTTATCATACAGTTCATGCCACATGCCTGTACTGCGAACCCAAAACATGCGACAACACGACAGGCGTTTGTGAGAGATGCCTGATAGGCTTCTATGGTGAAAAGTGTGAGAACACATGCCCGAATACGTGCTCCACATGTGAAAAATCCAACGGGCGATGTTTGACATGCATTGATGGATGGTTTGGTGAAAATTGCAATTTTGAATGTATTCACTGTTTTTCATGTCACAAAGACTCTGGAGCATGTACATCATGTCAGCCAAACTACTGGGGACCCCAGTGTCAGAATGAATGCGAATACAATTGTCACGTATGTAGCATAGAAAATGGTCAGTGTATTCATTGTGCTCAGGGATATTTTGGAGAAGGGTGTACTAATCAGTGTGGCCATTGCCGCCGGGGTTTGTGTGACCGAGCCACTGGAACCTGTCAGTTTGGGTGTAACGATGGTTTTCATGGAGACTCCTGTGAAAAAACATGCCCTCAGAACTGCATGGTGTGTAACCAAACCGATGGCGAGTGTTTGATGTGCCAACCGAATCTCTGGGGACGACAGTGTGATTACACCTGTCCTACCAACTGCGACTTTTGTCATGTATCTACAGGCGAGTGTTTGGAGTGTGTAGAGGGATACCATGGAGATAAATGCCAGGAACAGTGTGGACATTGTATAGGTCTAGCTTGTGAAAAGGATACAGGATTTTGTGACTATGGCTGTGAAGATGGATGGTTTGGGGGAAAATGTGATCAAAAATGCATTCAAAACTGTTCAAAATGTACATCTAAAGACGAATGCATGGTATGTATTCCCGGGTTAGCCGGGAGTAGATGTGATATCAAATGTCCTGAAATTTGTTCCTCTTGTTCCCAAGATATGATATCTAACGAAATTGTTTGTAGTGAATGTGCTGCAGGATATAGCCAACCTCAGAAAAACTGTTCTTGTACAATGTCCAAATGCACTAAACCAATGCTGACATGGGCGGGAAGCTATTGTGATGAGTGTGAAGCTAACTCCGGGTGGTATTTATCACAAGGTGCCTGTTGTCCATGCAAACATTGTGCCGGTGGTAACCAGTTTTGTTCTAGTGATGGAACCTGCATTAATGGCTGTGAACCTAACTACTATCCAAAAGATCAGGGATGCGATACTTTTTGCGATTTGGAACACTGTATCTGGTGTGAGCCCTTCTTTGGGTATGGAAAAGTGTGTGTAGGGTGCGAGAGTGGATACTTTCTGGATAAGGATGGTTATTGTTATTCTTGTAGTGAGCACTGCAAAGGAGGATCAGAAAAATGTCACACGACAACAGGTTCCTGTACGGATGGTTGTGAAGAGGGATGGTTTGGAGATCGATGCGATTCCACCTGTCATGATGAACACTGTGCAGAGTGTGATAATACTGCAAACACGTGTCAGTCATGCAAAGATGGTTATTATGGTAAATATTGTTCGAAAACTTGTGCGACAAACTGTACAAAATGTTCCAGAGATACAGGATCTTGTCTAGAGTGTGCTACAGGACGATTTTCAGAGGATTGTACAAAGACCTGTGATAACTGTGTAAAGGATGAGTGCGATGTATCCGGGAAATGTCTACACGGCTGCAAGGAGGGATGGTTTGGAATGAAGTGTAACGAAATGTGTATGGAAGGATGTTCAAAGTGTAGCTCTTTTGAAATATGTGAGGAGTGTTATAATGAAGCCGCCTTGTTAAATGGAAAATGTTATAGCTCCTGTAGCAGATGTATTCATAGTAGATGTAGCGAAAATGGTGAATGTGAGTTAGGCTGTGTTGACGGATGGTATGGAAAGAAATGTGATCTTCCATGTCCTATTGAGTGTTCAAAGTGTAACTCCAGTGATTCCTGTATCTCTTGCTTACGTGGGTTTAAATGGGAAGGAAAAAGATGTAAATCTACCTGTGAAAATTGCAAAAACCAGCTCTGTTCAAGCGATGGGGTCTGTGATAATGGCTGTAATGAAGGCTGGTTTGGTAAAAAATGTATTGAGGAATGTGTAAAAAGTTGTATATCGTGCGCAGATGGTCACAACTGTGAAAAATGCTTAAGTGGTTATCAATTATCTGGGAACAAGTGCATTGCTGGATGTGATTTCTGTCTTGAAGAAGATTGTGACGTACAAAGAAACTGTCATTTAGGTTGCAAAGACGGTCATTTTGGTCCACAATGTACTGGATCATGCATGAAAGGTTGCCAAGTTTGCGACTCTGTTGAAAAATGCACTAAATGCTCTCCAGGATTTCAAATGGTCAATAACTACTGCAAAGCATCATGTGCAAATTGTGCAGACCGATCGTGCAACACAGATGAAGTGTGTTTATCTGGCTGTGTAAATGGTTGGTTTGGAAATCGATGTAACCAGAAATGTGCACAAAATTGTGCTTCTTGCAACTCAGAAGTTTGCTTGAAATGCGATACTGGATATGACCTTAAGGATGGACAATGCAGTAAGAATTGTGAAAACTGTACCTCTTGTGGTGAAAATTGCATTTCATGTAAACCAGGATCAAACTCTAACGTTCATTTTTGTACGAAATGTAAGGATGGTTATTACATTAGATATGGTGTGTGTCAGAAGTGCAGCAGTACATGCAAGAATAACGCCTGTGAAGGAACTACTGCACAGTGTTTAGACGGTTGTGTGGAGGGCTGGACAGGCTTACTGTGCAATACTCCAAAGGATGGCACAAAAATACCAACCACAGATTGCTTAGGATCATGTTTGACATGCAATCCAGCAACAAAACAATGCACTTCCTGCATTGCAGGAATGTGGGGCATAAACTGTGAGAAAAGATGCCCCTCTAAATGTGACACTTGTGACCAGCAAACAGGACATTGCATGGTTGTATGCAGTAAATATTGTAGTAGGAATGTTAATTCAATTTCATGTAACAATGTCACCGGGGCGTGTCTTCAGGGTTGTGAGGATGGGTGGTACGGTGATCAGTGCCAAAACAGGTGCCCCCCGAATTGTATAGATGGTGTGTGTGAACGAACCCAGGGACATTGTGTAACAGGCTGTGTACCGGGCTGGAAAGGAATCACATGTAGCGGTATATTCATCCGTTATATTTACTTTTTCAAATAAAATAACGAGTTATTTCTATATGGTTCAGAATTTTAAATGTTTTACTCTCCACAGATGCACGTTTTGTTCCATGCACTATTATTTCCCTAACAAAATTAAAAATACCAAGGTTAACTATAATTTTCTAAAGTATTAAAGTTTTTACTATTAATAGTAAATCAAAGTACTATAGTACTAGTACTTCTAAAATTCATACGTCACACTTTTTATATTAAATAGAACTATTACTTGTAAATTCACATATTATTTTCAAATTTTGCACCACTGTTACCGAATATGAGATTTTAAGCTTTGAAATTTCAAAACGTTCTAGAGTAAAGTTTCATAGTATATATATAATATATATATATATGAGATTTTGAAAAATCGGCGATTTTCATTGAAGAATTTAACAACATGGACAATCAAGATATTTTTTTACATTCTATACTCTTTGTATGAAACTTCAAAATAATATAAATATCCATTGTTATTGCAGATTCCAGTAAGACGACCGCTATACCCAGCATGGGAATGATTGCGGGGGCAGTAATAGCAGCCATAGTTGGAGTGGCTATCATCGTTTTAATTACGTATTTTTTCTGCTGCAGGTAAGGGGTAACATACTGGTCAGAGAAGGGAAAGCAAAATGGGTCAGTACAAAGGAAAATTCAAATGTTCATTTAGCTAACAGTAGTTGCCTCATTACTTTTTAAGATTGAAATGTGAAGGCTTCCCTTTATTGGACTTTTAATATCATGCCCTCTCCCCACCCAAAAACTAAAATCAGTATTATTCCCATTCAAAGCACAACTCGAATTAGTCTGTTTTCAACATTTAAGATTTTTAAACATTTATTCCAGTAAAAAGTTTGGAATTTGGAATGAATTCTTTAAAATTAAAATATCAATTAGATAGGTATTTTAGATTTAGGATAAACCAAAAGTTCATGTATATTAAATAATTTTAGTGTACAAATTGCTCCTTGTCGAGGAAAATGTAAAACACAAACAGGGGCTGCCAGAACGTGTCAACAGAACTGCAGTGTCATTTACAAGGAAATAAAGACCAAAACAATCAAATCTCATTCATATTGCTTAATCATATTTTTTAAAAAGTTTACAGTGAACGTGATTTCTTCTTGAAATAATTTCCTCCACAATCTAATATTAAACATAAATCAAATAACTAACTTTGCAGTACATCTTGAGGAAATAAAGGAATTTGAACGTGAATCTATGTTTTTGTAGTGACGGTATTGATTATAGTGAGGTGTATGACAATTGATAAAATAAAATACAAGCTTACAATAGCATACAATAGGATCGGTGTTCTTTTGTTAGACAATTCTTCATTAAGGATAAAGCTTGATTACTGTTCTATGGTGAATAATTTAGTAACTTTTTTCTTCACATTTCTAGGAAAAAGAAGAGAGTTGAAAAGGAGGACGATACTTACACTAGTAGTTCCTACCCTCCGTATACAAATAATGGCTTTATTTTAGATTCTGTGATGTAAATTGGCTTAATGTCTTTGTAATAATAATTTTACTATTTGTATTTATTGTTTTTATTTACATTTTTAGTAAATTGTCTGGAATTTAGTGTGAATAAATTAAATGCTAACATGTGTGCAGTATGGTGGCTAACTTGAATAACTTTGACATCTACATGTATACTTGACTACAAGTGTGTTTATTATTTGAAGCATTCTGAGAGAGAGAGAGAGAGAGAGAGAAGAGAGAGAGAATGAAACAATTATAGTCTCCTGCTCCTCCATATTTAGCATAAAGCATAAGATTTAAATAGAAAAAAAATTCAAAACAAAAAATAATCAAATCCTTTAATTAAAAATTAGGTAATAAAAATAAAATCAACAAATGTTATAACAAATAACAGAGACCTTACTAAAGATAAAAGTTAACGACTTACAATTATGTTACAATTATTACTCTGATAAAAATGCATCTAAACAAGTATATTCAACTCATAAAAAAATAGTTCAATGATTAAATTTATTTTCAAAACAGCTGTATAATATCATGCACAGCCATAACAGTGAGGGCGGAGTCTAGAAAATAAATCAAGGAATCTAGAAAAAATGACAATAATTTAAAGGAGATAAGCGCCAGGGATATCAAAGGAGTAATACAGAAGATGATTGCAAGCAAGACGGCAAACAAAACCACACAAGTCTTGTTGAACTCGAGTACGTTGTTCCGAAGTCTCCGTGTCGTGTGTTGATTATAGAAAGGGAGGGGATGAAAGCGGTCTGAACACAGCTTTCGCTCCTTCTGAAATCTTTTCCTGTACTCTTCAGGATAGAGGTCTGCGAGTTTCACCTCTAGTTCTGAAAATACATGTATTTAATTTTAGGAAAAATCTTTTATAGTGTGTCTTCTGAGTAGCACATTAGTTGATTATAAAAATAAAAGTAAACCCTGATTTCATTTTGATTTTTTTTATTTTACATCTATGTTTGCAATAACAACATGCATTAGGATATTATACATTGCATAGTCATATAATGTTTCCATGCGGACACGTTAAGCTAAACACCTACCGAGTAGATATCTATAAAGGGCATTTTGTAATTAGAAAACTATTAACATACTAGTACATGTACAGTGTATGCACTAGCTATTTGAGTTAACCATTTAAATGATGATACATATATGAACATGTAGCAATAAAAAAAATTATACGTAGGTCAACATTTGAAACTGATTTGATTCACGTCCCCCAGTTCTGACTGATCCGCCTAGAATTAGGATGGCTAGCTATAGATGTCTTTTTCATCAAATAAAGAACCTTAAAAGGGTTGAAAAAGACTTAAAATATATTTTTACAAATAAATTATTGTTAAGCTATAAAGTTAATTACATTTAAATCAATGTGCAAAACTTTCGTTGAATAACTTGCATGAAATGTCTATGATAGGTATTGTACATGCAAGTCAGCACAGAATGTTATGAAACTTAAAAAAACAACCCTTCGATCAGCCTATCTCCAAAAACAACCCTTCAGCCAGCCTTCTCCAAAAAGGTGGGTCCGAGTACACAAAACATATTTCAATGATCGCCTCAAAGAAATTCTGGTGAAAAACTTTAATTTAAAAATGATTCAAGGACCTACATATTTTAATTTTTTTAATAAATCAAAATGCAAAGCTCTTTCTCAATAATGATTGATAAGGCTGATTTATAAATCGTGGTTATTTGTTCCATTGAATTTGTCATCGTCGGATACCCACGGGTGATCTCCACGGCCAGGAACACGTTAAGTTCCTAGACAGTACCGTTGTCAGAAACCTTTAAAGTTAAGCACTGAAACTGGTTCGTTGTCATGAACATACAGGTGAGGTTATGAAAAAATCCGTCCGGTGTCATGCAAAAGATACAAGAATTTATACTTAATGCATAAAATTTAACGTTTTTGACGAATTATAAGAATAAATTTGAATTTTGGGAAACAGATACAACATTCAGTATTCCATACAAAGATTTATGTATTTGATATCCTTAACACATTTTGAGGAGTTTTGGTTGGCGCTCACATGCCCATGTGTGAAGGCATGATCGTGAGCTGGAAAATTATATATTTCTTTTAATTCATCGAAATGGTTCTTTTATTTTAAAATTTAAAGAGAAACTTCATTTTAAATGTATTAGGCAAGTGACAGCCTTTTGTAGCTAACATGTTTTAAGAAATCGCAATTTATAAGGCAAAAAGTCCGTTGTCAGTACATGTTAAGTTTATCTGGTCCGGTGTCATTTTTCTTAACATGTATGTAAATCATTAAATGCAGCAGAAATGATCAAATATATGCTTAATTTAAATGAATACAAAATATATTACAGATAATTTTGAACCTAGGGGTCATCTTAAAGCAGCTCACACGAACGTGATAACTATTCTGCGATGTTTTTATTTTCAATTCATTTTCTCTTAGGAACCTGCATTCTAGCTAGTATGCGCCGGTGCTAGATCCGCCTTTGGTTATTGAGCAGATTTTTAAAGAGTTTCTGTATACCGTATATTCCAACGTAAAACTTTTATCACCAATTGTGGCACCACCCTACCCATGGGGTCATGATTTGAACAAAATTGAATTTGTTTTTGTTTGTTGTTTAAATATCCCTCTAGAAAATTTTTCACTCATAAGGAGACACCACCACTTGTCGCGGTGGAGGGCCAAAAAAGTGTGGGATCTTTTTATGCCAGAATCTACAAAATTAAAAGTACACTATGTACTTTCACAAAAGTATCATTTCTTCTGATCCAGAAGTTCTTGAGAGGAAAATTTTGAAAGAGTTATTCTTAAATATTCTTTTTAAACTTTGATCACCTATTGTAGCCCCACCCTTCCCCAGACATGATCTGAATAAAAATGAATCTACACTTTATAATAAAGCTTTTACATAAGTTTAAACTTTTCTGACACAATGATACTTGAGAAGATTATTGAAAGATGTCCATATCAAAATGACTAAACATGATTTTCAGTTCCTGAGAAGAAGATATTTTCCTATATGTTCCTATGTAATCACTAATTCTTAACTATACTTCCTTGAAAGAGGGCATGACCATTAATTTGAACAAACTTGACTCCCTTTATCCACGTTTGCTTTCTGGCAAGTTTGGTTGAAATTGAAAATGGCCTGTAATTCCTGAGAAGAAGCTGAAAATGTGAAAAGTTTACCGACAGACAGACGGACGACTCAAAAATGTGATCAGAAACGTTCACTAGAGCTATCAGCTCAGGTGAGCTAAAAATGTCAACCCCTACACCAATTATATCAGCACACGTATGAGAATTAAGCTAAAAGAAATGAATTCCAGATAACATTACTACTGAACAAATAACTTTCAATCTCATATCCATGTATATATAATGAGAAAAAAGAATAGACTGATTTTTCAGATATCTCAAGAACTACAGTATTTTGACATATCATAGTCAAGAAAACCAATACTGGACACAATTTTCTGAGCAACACCATTTCTCCCTACAGTATTGCGAGTAATGCTAAATAAATACAACTTGTTTACTTATTTATTAGCCAAACACTTTGTCTATCCTTCTGTCTGTCTGTCTCTCTCTCTTTCTCTGTGTATGTGTGTCAATATCTCTCTCTCTCTCTTCACGACCTTACTAAATATTCAACACAATTTATCGGCGACAAAATGTGCAAATGTTCACAGTACACATTGTCGCCGACGACAAAACGTGCCCATGCTTGACTGTACGTTCTGTCTTCCATTACGCAGGAGGAAAAAAGGCTCGTCTCGGTATAAATTGTCGTCTGCGACAATATGTACCGATGGACGACGATATGTGCAGTCAGGGTGGGTACATTTTGTTGCCGACGACAATATGTACAAAACGATATGTTTAACAATACCTAAAACAACATAAGATCGTCCTTCGTAGTGTATAAAGTACAGTAGCGACAACGGACCGATGAAACGGACTGAATTTTCGTATCTTGTCATGACAACGGACAAAAAATGAAATAAATGAAAATTTTCAGTCTTAATTTGTTCTCATTTTTCTTTAAAGGCTTACAACATGTCTCGATACTGTCTGTACCATTTCGTGTGTATATTATATATTCTATTTACGAAAAATATAACATCTCTGTAGGAAAAAGAATCAAATCCACAAGTGATTTCAACAGGGTTAATGTCGCCATCGCCAACTCTTCTTTTATTACTTAAGAAATAAGGTATCATTTTAAGGTCAAGATCTAGTAAATGAAAAGAGCCTATAGATTTCTCAAACTTGAGAAATAAATTCCTTTTATGATGCTTTATAACTATAGCTCGGTCAAATAATGTGTATCGGGGCATAATTTGCAAGAAAACAAGACGAAAAACCATCTTGTAAACTGTCATTTTCAATGAAAAATTAAGAAAGCCAGTCACGAATATGGGAGTTTTTTCCATATCAGACGAAGGAAATGTATTCAGATTGCCTACAGTCTCTCAGAAAACGGTAATTTGTATGTTCTTAGCCTCTTCTTTAAAATAATGTAAAATTGAATATAGGTATCGCAATTACTTTTCACATGATTTCAAATTGAATGCCATGAAAAAACTTTATTTTCTACATAATTCTATTGGAGCTGTAAAGTACGGGAAAAGGAAAGTTTGAATTGATTATGACGTCATAATGGATCTAGCACCGAAAAGACGGTCTAAAGACATTTACTAGATCTTGACCTTAAAACATCTATCGGGATATAAATACGGGTTGGTCACGAGATCAAATTCCATAAAGTCCGAAGGGCTTTATGGTAAATTTGATCTCGTACCAACGCGTGTTTATAGCCCGATAGATGTTTTAAAATGATACCTTATTACTTATATTTACATTTGTGACTTATTCATATTTTATATTTGCCTCATTATAATCTTTTAACGCGTGAAACGTTTCATTTTTCAAACCCAACGGCACGTGGTTTATCCACTGATTGCGCGTCGACCCTTTATGACGTCACTGAGAAATTACGTCGAACGTTTATGACGCGAGGAACCCGTGTTTATACGGATATAGATACGCGTTGCTTTTAATAGTGTTATGTAAAAGAAAACATTTGCAAATGTAAATATTTCTTTTTAATAACGGCTGAAATTCATACAACACCAAATAGAGTGTCAGCCCTGTTTCCCATTGCAATTTCAGACATTTTTATAGATAATTTTACTTGAAAAATGGAAAACTTCTCACAGCCTGTCTTCTAAAGCCATAACACCGGACGGATTTTATCATAACCTCACCTGTATGTTCATGACAACGAACCAGTTTCAGTGCTTACAGCAAACAATGATATTACAGTAATTACCTTCTTTGGTATAGAAATGTGTGTGTGTGTGTGGGGGGGGGGTCTTCTTTTTCCTTCATTCATAAGGTAGCGAGGGCTAATGTCTTTAAAAAAAGCTGTTGAAGACGTACAAAGCCAAGATCTTCAGTACTAAAAAATAATACGCCCTGATAGGTGTATGTCAATTTACAGTTTAAGGTTGTTGCTTAAGACGGCAAAGCTTTTTGAAAAAGCTATACTTGTTTGTTTCTTTTGTCACAAACATAGTTGCCATCGATGTTTCATTTGTATATCAAAACACTTTTGGATACAATTCCACACTGAGATATTTCTATGTTTTTACATCTACTGAATATTTTTACATTTATTTATTTCCCTTAATCAATTTAATTACTCTGAACTGTTCAGATTCGATTTTTAAAGCCATCTGTATGAAATAAGAGTGAGGTCTTCCATCTATTAACGTGCAAATCAATAAGGCAATATTTTATGTACTTTCATTCACTTCATATGAATAATTTAATGATATATAAATAGAAACTATATATGTAATGTATTTCAGATCTTTGTTGACTCAGGCTATGTAAGTTTTCCTATAATGTTGCAACCATAAAACCCTAATATCAAAAAGCAAAGAAAGTACTTCATTGTATAAATACTACACATTCTACTACTACATACATAAGCACGTGTACAATAATTCCTACCTTTGTCTCTGATACATGTGACTATGACCTTTCTACACAATGGACAGAGCGTGCACCGAGGCCTTCCCCGAGCCAATCTGCGAAGACAGGAATTGCAGTATACGTGATGGCATGGCTGACATTCCGTAGGGAGACAATAAAGTTCCAGACAAATCGGACAACAGTGGTCCATGGATACCGTAAATTCATCAGGAAGCTCCTACAAAAAACAAGAGTGGTTTAAATCAAAGAATCAGTACTGCATGTTTGTTATGAAGTGATTTAAACCTACATGCATTTGTTTCAAAATTTTCAAAAACGCTATGATAAATAATGCATACCCAAAATGACTTGTCAACAGTGTTCTCCGCTTCTACTGTCTGTTTATTTTCTCTTTCAACATTTTGGCCATTATCTTCTTCTATTACTTCCTGTTCCAATACTTCAAACTGATTGCTACAGACAACATATGGCTGCTCCTTGTTGTCGTCATGTTCTTCATGTATCACCATTCTTCTCTTCCGTAGCCTTTTGTTTTTTCTCTCTGGAGAGAAATATTAATTAATGTTAACTGAAACTAGAAATGGAAACATGTCTAAATGACATGAATACCTGTCCAGTGATACACTTGTATTAAATCTTAAAAGACACACTTTGTATCTTCTGAGCTAATATTCATATTTTTTCATCAATTTTACAGTATTGATACTTTTAGTGGTTGCTTTTCGTAGCATGGTACGTAGTGTTGATTTTTAAATCTATCTCACTCCTATCGAACAGCTAAGTGAAGTTTCATTTCCTCTGTATATACTTAGGATGCAACGTAAGAAAAAAAATGCCACAGACCATATAAGATTCAAACTTAGGCCTATGAACTCTAAGTGCTCTACCAATTGACCAATCTGGCCACTGGAGAACAGTCTGAAAGTCGCATTGCTCCCTCCCTTAGTGTCTTTGCCCCTAAAGACACCAACCCAAGTCAATCCCCGAAGGTCCTCTGCCTGTCACTTCCAATGCAAGAAATGGCACCAGATATAACGGTAAAGTCTCAGTTACACATATTCGATTCAAGTCAAGATCATCCACGACTAAATGGCGTTTAATAAATCGAATTATATTCGACATGGTCAGGGTTTAACGGAATCATTTTAATAAACATCAAGCTCTACCACGTTTTACATCGACTTCCATACGGATAAATACGGTATCATGACGTTCTAACAGGGATACAGTACAATCACTCAAGGTTCGTTGAAGATTCAAGGAGATTACACTTTGAGACTATTACGATCCTTCTATGTTTTTTCACAACTTTCCTACGTTTGATCACGAATCGACAAAGAAATCGGTTCACCGGTCCCTTCTCTCTCCCGCCGAGTTTACAATGTGCTTGAAGAAGGTTGAAGGCATTAAAAGACATACCACAGAAAGTGTCTCACCGAAGACCATTATCCTGGGCGGGCCCAAGCAGAGTCAAGCAAACTGAATTTACCAGAATGAAGACGTAATAAATACATTGTATTATTCGGGTCTTTTTTCTTCTTCATTTTTTCTGCCTGAAGATAAAGACTTTATTTACTATCTACTACCTCTTCAGCTGCATTGACGCGACTTAAAAACAACTCAGTAGCAAAGAACAAAAAATGACATGGCGATTAGTTGAAGTCCTGCCATTTCTCTATTTAAAAGGTATAAGAAATTGTAAGGACACTGAAAAAAGACATTTGTTTATGGAGCAAGAATGTAACACTACGTCCATTAAGATGCAGCTACGTTTACCACAACGATGTTGTTACAACAGATCATAGTTCATCACCAAATAAACTACGGAAGAACTACGAGTTCTATTAATCTTGTTAATGTCATCACATTTGAGCTGCATGAAAACAGTCGTTAAGGTTGTCAGAGTTTCTGGGCTTTTGCCGATCAATCAGGGTATACCATCAGATTATCATCAGATTCCAATAGGATCATTTCTATGTTGACGATGAAGTACATTAGGCTATTATAAAATGAGTGGTTGTGACTGCATGGGTTTGAGAGAAAATGAGATGAACCAGACCTAATTCGGACATTTCGACTTCGTTTGGTCATAACTACCCAAAAACTCTTTGATTCCAAACTGGTCAATCCCTTTATTAGTTGTCAGTAAGTGTATGAACATATCATCAAATATAAAGGTAAGGTTAAAATATTTTTATAATATTCTATGTTTCTTCACATGAGGTGCAACACTGTTTTACTTTTGTCATAGCGCTGTACACTCCCTGAGGATGTTTCCATATAAATATGACTTATCATAGCTGTGCTGTTTTTGAGAAGATTTACCCTATCAATGAAATAGGTGAGGATAATGAAAAGTGATCGATCTCAAAAAAAGACCTGCAAACAATACAAATCCTTGAACAGAGCATAAGACACGGACCCCTTGAAATCCCAGAGGTTGGATCGGGTGCCAAGGAGGATGGTGCATCCCCTGTTGACCGGTCAAACATGCCATGAGTCCTACGTATTGATCAGGTAGACAAAATATTCCGTAGTAAAATTAAGTACAAAACGAAAGGCTTAACATTTGGTATGACTCACTATGAGGTATGTCAGTCAAAATAGGACCCAATGATAGGATGTAATTGCTAACAAGATCATACTCATTATAACAACCACAGAATGACTTTGTATAAAATGCTGACTTTCAATAGGGTTGTTGAAATCCCTGTATTGTCCACTTATTTGTCAGTAGCCTGCCTCAGTTTAAAAATTGATTGCACTCAGAGCATGCTCTTGAGTATCGAATAGGTTGGGAGTCATAAACACCATATGCAGGTAACAGTGGAAAATAACTACCTAAAAATGCTGGAAAAGCTGAAGTCATCTCTTTGTCATGCCATTTAGTAGTTAGTTGGTCCTTACCATCTCTAGTCAGTAAAACATCAAAATATGAAACAGACCTGGCAGACCCTGTGGTGTCTTTTATTTTGAGTTCACTGAGATATATCAAGTCGACATATGAATGGAAGTAACTAGTGTTAATTGATAAAAGGTCGCTGTTTTGTAAGTGAATGTTGAGTTGATCATATAGCAAGTGTTTTCTTCCTCTTTTTGTGGAAGTTTTTGAATAAATTTAGCTCCATAGGAATACAAAAACAGGTCGGCTAATAAAGGAGCACAATCAGTGCCCATCAAAATTACAACAGATTGTTGGAAGACCTGGGGCCCGTTTTACAAAAGAACTTATGACTAAGACCAAAAACTTTAGTTGATCGTAAAATTTTGCAAAATGAATTATTATTTTTGAAATTGCTAGCATAAAATATCTTGTTAAATTCTTTTTATAAAGATTAAAATCATTTTCAAATCAATGTAAATTAGAAAGCAATAAGCAGAATTAAATTTTGGTCTTAGTACTAGTTGTAAGTTCTTTTGTAAAACGGGCCCCAGGTCTCCAAAGACTACTAGATGTTGTCTATGAGGAACTCCAGTATTCTTCTAATATCAACCTCAGAGTACATCATGGCTTTGTTGTTCTTGAGAAATAGAGTTTTAAAGATCTTTCCTGTACATCCCATATAAAACATTGATTGCCTACTATGACCCCACCTTTTCCCTGGTGGGGGGGGGGGGGGGGCATGATTTGAATAAACTTAATCTACACTATTTACTGAAGCTTTTGCCAAGTTTTATCTTTTCTGGCCCAGTGGCTCTTGAGAAGAAGATTTTGGGGGATGCTATGAAATTTTTACCAATTCTGAATTATTACTCCTTGAAAGAGGTTGTGACCCTTCATTTGAACAAATTTGAATCCACTTCACCCAAGGAGACTTTGTGGCAAGTTTGGTGTAAAAAGGCACAATGGTTCTGGAGAATAAGTCGAAAATGTTAAAAGTTTACAGACGGACAGGACATCATACAAAATAGACAGGGCACCATACAAAATGTGAGTCAGAAAATCTCACTTGGGCTCTTTGCTCAGGTAAGCTAAAAATTAGGTTATGCATGAATTTTTCTCTTTGTCCTATATTACACATTTTTTTTTTCAAAACTATATTAACATGCTTTATATGTTTTTTGTTAAATAATGTTTTATCAAAGCTCAAAGATTCAGTGTTACAATCTTGAACTTTTCTTGGTGCAGAATTTTCTGATGTGTATAATATTGACTCTTGAAAAGGGGAGGTGGGGTGTTACAATTTTAGATGTCATTTATATGACTACAGAGTGTGTTTTACATTATCAGCTTGTGTATTTTCATGAATATGTAGGTATGTATGTTGAATTAAAGGCAGATGCAGAAAAAAGAAATAAATTGGAATTACCTAACCCTGAGATTACAAATTAATGTTTACATAGACAGAGTCTGTATTAGCTGTAGAATTTGATATGATACCAGTGATATATAAGTTTGTGAGATCTGGACCTGAAGCTCCAGTTCTAGATGTAGAAGGCAACTGATCCAATTCAGTGCTGTCCTTATCTTCAGAAGGCATTCTTTGACATGGTACAGCTACGTCTAAAAACAGAACAATATTTAAGATTACATTACAAGAAAACCATTGGTTCATTATATCAATTATTTTTTTTTCTTATTTTGAATCTTACTTCCTCGGTCTGACCTGGGCATTCAGCATGATTTCATATTGAGAAGTATTAATTACTGATCTTCTATGGTGCCATCAAGTCACATTATGAGGCCCTGTGTCACAATACTTACCTGAATACCTCAGCCTTGTTCTTCAGAAGATTTTTTAAAAGATTTTTTTTTCTCTCTCATCATTCTTATGCAAAAAGAAAGTACCTATGTTGTGGGTCCACCATAGTCCCCCCATAAAATTCCTGAATACATCCATTATGTAAACTTTGATCCTAATCTTAATCTTATTCTAACCTTAAGCTCCATAGCATTTAAAAAAAGATTTATTGCACATAAGTTAGGAATCTTTGCATATTTAATTTACTGTGGCACTGCTTTTCTTGAAATGATTTTTTCTTTATTTCCCTATTTATTTTGTAAAAAGAAAATACATTAAATAGTCTATACTGTATGAACTCCATTGCAAATATATGCAAAAAAAAAAAAAAAAAAATCTTCACCTTGTTGTCGAACCTGTGAAATTTGGTCCACTCTGCAACACAGAACATGAACATGAGGCAGTGTGAACTCCTCACAGGGACATTTGTTTCCTGAAGTGAAGTCAAACAATCCAATCCTTCCCTTACATTTTGGACAGTACAATTTGCCTTTGTTCCAAAACCCCTGTACAAGAAAATTATTGTATAAATAACTGGATCATATTTTGATCTTCATAAAACACTTTTATAATAAGAAATACATGAACTCAAATGAAAAAATACATGTACTTTTTAAAATGGTATAACAATAATATTACAATGCAACCTGCCCCAAATCTTCAATCTCAGGGCATAGAAATCACCTTATTCTTTCTCTAAAATACAGTGATCTATAATACAAGGAAAGATAAAATTGGAATTTCCTGATGCCGATACCTGTAACATTTCTCAGTCACTTAAATGTTGAAGATAGGACATGTGTGTTCAGCTGAACATAATTACATATTCGGTTAATTGTTACTGACTGTCCACGGAAATATGTCAGGTTATTCAATTCCATGAAACAGGAGGCATGGAAAGAAGTTTATCAGTTTCATTTAAAAGCAAAAATTAACACTAACAAATTTTTTTCAGCAAAGTTGGATTATATAATATGTTTTATCCGCCATGTTGCCATCCAAAATTTGAACTCCCCATACAAAGAAATATTGATGGCAGGCACACGATGCCCATTATCCAATGACAGAGCATCATTCTAGTCCATGGCAAAACAAATTTCTTACCTCATTAATTGCTTGATATATCCACTGTGGTGTGTTTTCTGACTCTGACGACACATACCACTGGGTTGTTACACAAGCCGCAGGACAAACCTCATCTGTGTGAATGGGTACATTAAGTTTAGTCTTTGATTCATCAAAGAATGGAATATTCTAGATTTTTTTTTTTCTAGAGTCTGTAATAAATGTTGTACAAATAGGAGAAACACTGACACAACCTAGAACATTTTTAATTTGAAGGGAAAGGGGAGGGGGGGGGGTAGAGCACAATGATGGTTCAATGATATAAAATTTACAGTAAAAGACAATTCTTGAAAATGTGGGCCCCCAGCCCCTCTTGTATTACTAGCCGGCAAGAAATGAGGATCAAGATGATTGAATTCAACATTTTTCATTTCATCGAATAGAGTCTCATTCAATTTCAAACAGTTTAAAATTATCAATCTCACTTTTTGCCATCAAGTTACCTTGTAAAAATCTTTTGAGGCATCTTTGTTTACTTTAAAATATTTGTTTCTCTTTAATTTTTAATGTTTATTGTCTCTCTTGTTTGAGTGCATCTCCACACTACAATCAACTTTTATGAAGACAAAACAAATCTGACATCATTTCTTAAAAGGACTGCTACTATCATTCAAAAAGAAAACATTATAGAATGTTGTTTCCATAACAAATGATTTCTAAAATGGAAATGTAAACACAACATTTTGGTCAGATTGCCAGATATTACCTGACAGACATACATGTAGATTCTGAAATACATCTGGCAATCATTTAAACCAATGAAAGTGTGACATTTCCATCCAGCGGAAAATAAATTGCTATACGCTACAGCTGTCTTGTAACACCCCTTCTTTCTTGTGTACATAATAAATATAGTGCTTTCTTGTGTAATAAATATAGTGCAAATCTTAAATCTAAACTTTTGATTTGTTATTTACACGAGTTATCGTTCTTGCGGTAGGTCGTCTGAGAGAAGAAATAGTTCCCCATACCGAGCTTGAAAATTACACTTTAAAACTTCTTTTTATAAAACTTTTTTGTGTAATTTATATATTTAAGACATGATTAATCAGAATATCATATCAGTTTTGCTGTATGTAGCCCATATTTTTGTAGGTCTTCCCTATAGGTCTTCAATTACCTGTAGATCTTCAATTAGGCAGGCCGAAACTTTTGTGTAAAACTCCCAGAGGAATACATTTAAATGCGTGGAGAATAAAGCTGTCATTGCTGACTATATAGATCCCTGGTTAAAACTAAAAGATGGGACATAAGTAATTACCCAACATTTAAATATGAGAATTTTTTTGTACCTTTCTTTCCATGTTCTGTAATAACACATTCATCAGTAAACAAACGATATCTGCACTTTCTACATCGGTAAAGCATCACCTTATGGGTAAGTCAACCTACACGAAACAATAAAAGTAGATTCAGTTGTACAGCAACTTCCTACTCTGTGTAAGGAGTACACAAAATGTAAAGCATTAAGAACATTTACATTACAAAAATAATCCGTTATAAATAGAAAAGTGAACAGGTGAAGGATACACAAGACTGATGCAATGAAGACAAATGAATAATCCATTTCTGGAATTGTTTTGGAACTAAGCGATGTAAGATATCCAAGCCATTCACTCGGTTAAAGTATTTTCTCAGGTTTCCTTCGTTATTAAGTGAATTAAGTGTTTACCTTGGTGATATTAATCTTGAATTTTTGGAAGTGTTTTTATCGGATGTTTTCAATGCAAACTAATATAAAAACAAATTCAGAAGCCTCATTAATTCCGTATTGGTAATAAATCTGTAAAGTAATAATTTGCATCATTTATAATGTAAATTGTCAGAATTGGCTTAAAAAATCATTTATAATCCAAAAACTATTGTGCATTCTCACTTGCTCTTTATAAAATTATACATACATGTAGTCCGAAATATCTGACGTTTTCCAGGCTTTTTTCACGATTTAGATATTTTATGTGCCAGGTTTTCCTGGGACGTAAAATATCAAAATCGTGAAAAAAGCCTGGAAAACGTCAGGTACTTCGGACTAATAATCATGATGCTGAAGTGCCCACTCCTACGAAAATCAGTATATAATATCGCTGTGCATATAAAATGTGGACTGATAGCATTTGAATAAAAACTACGTTTCAAAATTTCTCACACTATCCAGAATATAAAACATTTAAGGAGAGATGATACAAACAAACTTTTGTCAAAAATCTTGAAATCAGAAATTTAAGTAATGTTTAAAGTTTTTAACCGCATAGATTTTATTTTTTCTATTAAAAGTTTCACAATAATGGAATTTAAAGTGATAAAAAGTTGTATATATGAAGAAGGATGGTTTCATACAGAGAGGTAGAATTTTGAACATCACAGAAAGTTTAGTTTCTTAATATTTTAGAAATTTACTTTTCGCATGGTTTACAACAGTGATAGGAGTTATGGTAATGTGTAATGGTAACTGACAGTAATTAATTACAAATTTCGATGTAATTGAAAGTAATAATATGTAATTGGTAAAATTTTCAATTACATGTGATTGTAATTTAATTAAATAATTTTGAGAACAAGCACGTAATTTACAATTACTTTTCAATTACATTGATGTTTAATATATAAAAAATAGCTCTCCCCACATGCACACTATTCAAGATAGCTTAACTAATTTTGACCTTTTGGCTTTTGGACAAAATATTTTGACGGTTAATTTTTTAAAGGAATTTACATATTTTACGCTCACTTGAGCCGAAGGCTCAAGTGAGCTTTTCTGATCAAATTTGTCTGTTGTTTATCGTCGTCGTCGGCGTTGTCGTTGTAAACTTCACATTTTCATCTTCTTAAATTCTCAATTGCAAGAACCACTGGGCCAATTTCAACCGAACTTGCAACAAAGTATCCTTGGGCATGGCCGTAGGAAACGGGGGGGGGGGGACGGCCGTGCCCCCAATAATTTTGCCGACATATAGATTACTACAGAAAACATAGCTCTAATATATTCTTGTGCCCCCTCAATAAAAACGTCTAATGACCTTTTCTTATGCTTGTCAAGGAATTTTTGGTAGTTGATAGTGCCCCCAACTGAAAATGTCTGGCTGTGTCCCCTCCCCCCCCCCAACTGAAATTGCTTCCTACAGGCCTGTTGGGTAAAGGGGATTCAAATTTGTTCAAATGAAGGGTCACGCCTTCTTTCAAGGGGAGAAAATTAAGAATTCGTGAATTAATGGCATTATTTAAAAATCTTCTCAAGAACCACTGTGCTTGAAAATATGAAACTTATGTGGAATCATTATGAGGTAGTGTAGATTCAAGTTTGTTCAAAACATGATTCCTGGGGTAGGGTGGTGCCACAATGGGCGATAAAATGTTTTACATAGGAATACATAGGAAAAAAATCTTCTGAAGAACAGCAAGGCCATGATTGGTCATATCTTTATGCAAACATCCTCAGGTAGTGTAGATTCAAGTTAGTTCAAATCATGACCCCCGGGGGGTAGGGTGGGGCCACAATATGTGACCAAAGTTTTACATAGGAAAAATCTTTAAAAATTTTCTTCCCAAGAACAACAAAGCCATGATTGGTCATATTTATATGCAAGCATCCTCAGGTAGTGTATATTCAATTTTGTTCAAATCATGACCCCCGGGGGTAGGGTGGTGACACAAAGGGCGATCAAAGTTTTACATAGGAATACATAGGAAAAAAATCTTCTTCTCAAGAACAGCAAAGCCATGATTGGTCATATCTATATGCAATTATCCTCAGGTAGTGTAGATTTAACTTTGTTCAAATCATGACCCCAAGGGGTAGGATGGGGCCACAATGAGGGATCAAAGTTTTACATAGAAATATATAGGAAAATATCTCTAAAATCTTCTTAAAAACAGTAAAGCCATGATTGGTCATATTTATATGGAAGCATCCTCAGGTAGTGAAGATTCAAGTTTGTTCAAATAATAACCCCAAGGGTTAGGGTGGGGCCACAATTGGGGATCAAAGTTTTACATAGAAATATATAGGAAAATATCATTAAAAATCTTCTTCTTAAAAACAGTAAAGCCATGATTGGTCATATTTATATGGAAGCATCCTCAGATAGTGAAGATTCAAGTTTGTTCAAATCATTACCCCGGGGAGAGGTTGGGGCCACAATGGGTGATCAAAGTTTACAGAGGAATATATAGGAAAAAGTCTTTTTCTCAAGAACAGAAAAACCATGATTAGTCAAATTGATATGGAGGCATCTTTGGGTAGTGTAAAATGAAATTTGTTCAAATGAGGGCCCCCGGGGGTAGGGTGGGGCCACAATGGGGGATCAAATTTTTACAAATGAATATATGGGAAAAAAAATCTGCTGCTCAAGAACAACAAAGCCATTTGTTATATTGATATGAAAGCATCATCAGGTAGGGTGATAGGGTGGGGCCACAATGGGTGATCAAAGTTTAACATAGGGAAAATCTTTAAAAATCTTCTCAAGAACAGCAAGGTCATGATTGGTCATATTTATATGCAAGCATCCTCAGGTAGTGTAGATTCGGGTTTGTTCAAATCATGACCCCAGGGGTAGGGTGGGGCCACAATTGGTGTTCAAAGTTTTATATACAGAAGGAATACATAGGAAAAATCTTCTTCTCAAGAACAGCATTTAAAGCCATGATTAGCTTTATTTAAATGGAAGTATCCTCAGGTAGTGTAGATTCAAGATTGTTCAAATCATGACCCCTGGGGATAGGGTGGGGCCACAACGGGGGGATCAAAGTTTTACATAGGAATACATAGGAAAAATCTTCAAAAAATCTTCTCAAGAACAGCAAAGCCATGATTGGTCATAATAATATTAAAGCATCTTCAGGTAAAGTAGATTCAAATTTGTTCAAATTATGACCCCTCAGGAGAATAGAGAGGCCATAACAGGGGATCATAGTTATACAAAGGAATATAAAGGATATATCAATGAATATTTTTCTTCTTCTTAAGAACAGCAAATCCATATTGTGTCATAGTAATTCAAAAGCATCCTTAGGAAGTGCCGATTCAAGTTAGTTCAAATCATACCCCCCCCCCTTCCGAACCACTTTTATATTTAAACTTTTCAAGGCTGAACTGATTTCTGCTTTTTCCTAGCCAAAGTGCTCAGGTGAGCGATGTGGCCCCTGGGCCTCTTGTTAGTGATGTGATGTTTCCTCTTATGCATTTTCTTTAAAAAAAATTGAATCAAAATAAACTCTCTCTCTGTGTTTAATTCACAAATAAAACTAATAATTTACGGTTTAAAATCTCGGACCTACTTAAATTCTTGCTTTAGGAATATTTTATCCATAGGTTTTGAAAATATTCACAAATAATGTGTTTTATTTGCATAAATAATTTTTAAGTAAAAAAATTGAAATGCCTTTCGGGCTTTTTGTCCCCTGCTTTCACTGAAAGTGGGGGATATTAATTTGGGTCTGTCTGTCCGTCCGTCCGTCTGTATATTTCTGTCTGTTTGTAACACTTTCGTTTCCGCGCGATATCTCGAGAACCCTTTGAGCTTTCGCAATGAAATTTTGCGTAGCAACTCCATATGGCCTAAAAAAGAACCCTATTGATTTTGAGGTCAAAAGTTCAAAGTTCGAGGTAGTAAATTCATACATTCCGTCTGTGTGTAACACTTTCGTTTCCGGGCGATAACTCAAAAAGCTTTTGCAATGAAATTTTATACCATAACTCCCTATGGCCTCTCTTATCCCTCTCAAAGTGTCTCACCCCATTTTTCAAAAAAAATTATTTATTGTATTAAAAGTCGCTTGGCACTATTTTTAGCACAGGGGCATGTCGAGAGTTATTACGTGTAATATAGGTTGTCGGCGGACTTTATATTCTAATTACATCTATTATTTAGAACTGTTTAGTAAAGGCTAAATTAGACAACATTTGTTGTGTAAAATTTTGACAATATCAAACGTAAATATAAACATTATATGTGACTTAATGTTTGCATTTAATTTAAATATAAACATTATATGTGACTTAATGTTTGCATTTAATTTAAATATAAACATTATATGTGACTTAATGTTTGCATTTAATTTAAATATAAACATTATATGTGACTTAATGTTTGCATTTAATTTACTGTATAATCAAGTGCCTCCGTGGTCTTGTGGAATGTTGCTCGCTTAGCAAGCGAGAGACCCGGTTCAATCCCCGTACGATTCTGTTTTTTTAAAAAATTTTTTTTTTTGGATTTACTAAATGATACTATTCAACATGTGAAATGAAAAAGTTATGATGTCTGGCGTGTACAAACTCATAAAATCATAATTACAGTGTGATAAATATTCTGTATATTTTTTTGTTTTGTTTTTTAATTTGCTTCAATATACATGTATACATTCAAAAATTCTACAAATACAGGGGGGGGGGGGGGCTGTGTGACCCCCCTCCCGAACTGCACATGCTCTTCTTTTTTTTCCCTAAGCGGGGGACACAAATTCTCTGAATTAGCTTATCCTTACATATTTTATTACATATTCATATTATGCATTTATTAACAGCAAATTTTTAACTCTTATTTGCAAATAAAACTTTTTTTTTTTTCATTTTCTCTGAAAAATAAAAAAAAATGTATAAGATGTAAAGTAATTTTAATAAGAGCTTATAGCGGCCTTTCAATGCGGAAACCATAGTCAAGTAGGGATGTATCAACTTTTGTTAAAAGTGAT